GGGGAAGGGTAGGTTTAGGAACTTTGGTCAATTTGATTCCAACTTTTTCTTTCCTTACTTTTTTTGCAAGCTGCCTAGCTAAGCTGTTTTCATGCTAGTGCATTGCTGCAGCCTAGCCAGGGAGCCAGTCCTTGTGGGTAGGGGGGAGGCTGGGTGTCAAAAGTGCAGGGTTGGGGCCGGGGAGGGTGTAAAATTGACTCTGGATTTTGGGTTTAGTTTATTGTCCCCTTGGGTAGTTTTTTATTTCCAATCAGATACATGAATCAGTTGTATACGAGTAATAACCCTGTTTTCTTACTCAAGCTAATGCATGGCACACTTCAATAATGTACATGTAGGAAGTTACTGACTGGACTGGTTTTGTGTCATCTCTACATCACTAAAAATTGTGGCAAAGGGTAAATCAAATGAGCTTGCCATCTGCTTACAGTCCTTCAAAATCACTTGATGGAAGGATAGTACAAGTACTTACTCACTTCTGTTAAAAGCCACATTAGATAGATTCTTAGACAAAGTTTTATTTTTTAAATGATTATTAATGAACTAGACTACACGTAGTTAGCTCAGTTTCTTCCAAAATGTATCGATTTCTTAGGAAAATCGGTGTGTTGAAGGAAATTTAATACCACCATGATTAAAGTATAACAAGTACATTAACCTCCACAACAACAACAGAAGAAAAATGGTTTGAACCTAAGGTGTTACATTTGATCATGACCTTACAAGTTCCTACCATTGACTACGACTGTTATTTCGATAACTTAAGCCGCTCATGTTTTTGAAACGTTGGTCATTTTCATCCACATTAGTTGTTTTCAGGACTACTCTCACCCGCCCTGAATCACTGAATGAGAGTGAAATAAGACTTTCGGTTTTCATTCGCTTTGGATCAATATCGGCCAGTGTAAACATAGCGTTAGAAGCGGTAGGACTTCGGAGAGAAGGTGAATTGTTTACGCCCTGACAAATTAATGTTATTAACATGAAAGAATGGCCTGCCCCGAAAGGAAAAATGATATAAAGTGGTATTTGAATAAGCAAGCTTACTCCGGTAAATCTAGCAACAAGGGGCTACTACTGAAATACTTGTTCTCTTATCATCCTAAAATACTTTTAAAAGAATCATACAGAAGAAGAGACAGACCTTATCTTCACTACTTATCTAACGTATTTTCCGATCGTAACAGCCTAGACAAGATTGATTGCAGATTTCTGTTTGATCTAGAAGTAACATCAGTGATGGTAATATTTACGGATGGGATAACGTTTCCTATCAACTTCTTTAGCGCAGAAACTGCACGGAAAGGTTAAATTTGAATAGCTCGCTTGCTTTTTCAAAGCATTTCCCGTCATTTAAGTGGGGTGAAAATCAAAATTTTCCCCTCAAGGGCTGACGCTTACGAGTTCGCCTCTAAGTCCCCTCACTCGAAATCACACTGTACGAGCCCTGAGATTTCGTGTCATCAGTTTACGATTTAAAACCTTAAAGGTACTTGAAAGGTTTTACGATGGTAAAGTATTTTATCCCCAAAGGGCACTATGAGCACCCTTGCCCTTTTAACAGGGCATTATCCTCCGGAAATCCAAGATGGCGTTGTGTTGCAGCACCTTCCTCCTCAACAGAGCCCCTACAATATGTCCGAATGATCAGCAATTTGACTGAAATTAAATAGAGTTTCAACAAATGGGATCAATGAAAATTCCTAAAGTGGAGATGCTGACCTCCTCAACGTTTGGAGAAAGAAGATTGACTGAAATTGAAATCACCCTTATTTGTGTGGCCGCTATTAGTTTTTGCAGCGCAACTCTTTTAAGTTCCGATTATCAAAGTCTCTCAGGAGATTAGAAATATCTCATCACGACATTTTAAAGTGGAAAAATTACATGCTGGTCAAGCTATAGAATCACGAACTTACACGTGTGTTTATTAATGCCTCTAAAGGGCTTATGGTTAAGTACATATTATTTATTGACCGCCACATATCTTTCATTCAGGCGTCAAAGAAAGCTCAGCCTCTCCTATCGAGCACCCTAAAGCAATTTCAAGAGGAATTAAAAAAGCGTCAATATTTTGGTGATTACTTTGCTAGATCTGCTAATGACCAACTGCGTCTGTGTTGTGAAAAGGGGTGGTTCAGCTGTGAGGGGCCTTACAATGAAAAAACTTGTTCACACCTGCACACCATCAATCCATATGGTAGCAAGGAGAGCAGAGTCCTGTTTAGTACGTGGAACCTCGATCATGTGTAAGTATTGTTCTCCATTACTTTAATTTTTTTTAATTAAGAATTTCAGTGTTCAGTTTCCAGCCCTTCATAGCCGTTAGAGCTAGACATGTTTTGAAAATACAATAAAACATTCTTACAATGTTTGAGCCGAGGGTGAGCTTACTCCCCAATTCTACCGCAATGATAACTATAATAGTTTGAGTGTAAAGTTTTACGTTTCCTAATTTTTTAATCAGTCGAAGGTCGTGATGGGGTGACCGTTCTAGGCGAACTTAAGGCAAGAAGAGGTCTTAAAGTCTCTATCGTTGATCAGAGCGCAGCAAAATTTTATTTTTATTTTTATTTTTGAATGTTAAACTGCGTAATTTCAAGTGGAAGCAAGGCCTAGCACTTAGGTGTCTCCTGAAGTCTGGAATGCCAGACATTTACACCCTTCTTTTTAAGTCTCAACTTCCTGGGACTCGTCAAGTGCAGTCTTAAAGTCTCTCACGAAAGAAAGTTTTGCAGAAAACGGTCGGGCGAGGAAGCGCATAGAGGATAACTATGTCCTTCCTATGCTTACTGAACCGCAAATCCTCGCAGTTTGCAGTTACAAAGGGTTCCGCACTCGTGAAATGTGCCACATTCTGACGGCTTTAAAAAGGGGTCATTACGTTGCATGTTGACTTGGGACAATAGACCTTCTCCACCTTCAAAGGTTGGGAGTAGACTCGTCGTAATCGTCGGTTGACATCCACCAAAAAGGCATAACTGTTTAAGAAAAAGCGCCTAGAAGGTTTATACTAGGGGCACTGTTGACAATCAGTGTGTTTGTAGCGATAAACTAAAGTAAATGCTTATACGTGTGACATTGTTTTCTATTAATTGAATTAGTTTGTTACCGTTTCTTCAAGGGCTTTTTACCAAGCTGCTGAGGGAAGTTTCCGGACATTTTATTTCGTTAGATATAGGTGGCTGGCGAATGAAACGAGAGTGCCTAACTCATTGTTAACTTCACACGTGCAGGACAAGTTATTATTTCCTGAGGAGAATCAAATCTTGCTTTCTTCATTTTCTGTTAATTGATCTGTCGCCTCACCCTGTGTATTTTTAACCCCTTCCAGAATTGAGAAGTCGCGACAGATTTTTCCAGCAATTATCCAGGCCGCTGAAAAGTGCCCTAAAGAAAGCGTATTAAACTGGAAGTACTTTTTTAGCTTGCTTTTCACAAGGGAGAATCTTAAACTGGTCCATATCGGGTGCCATGTAAAAGGAGGACATGAAGGATTTGAATGCCAATCCAAATATTTTTATATGAAATCAAAACGGTAACACGTGTTGCCGTTCTCGAATGATTCTATAATTAGTTTGCAATAAAAACGGTTACCCTTGACACTTGCTGTGGTTTGCCCTCTGTAAATCAATACTTCTTTTATGTTCTATTGTGAGTATTATTTGATACCATGGGTGTAAATCTCTGAACCTCTAGGGAACTTTTGGTAAATATAGCAAGCGAAGCGAGGAAATAGGGGGCATCGATTTGGAAAACGCTTGCTGACTGTAAAACTCTACTGGAGGTAAGGAAAAGAATTCACTTCTCTCAGAAATCGTCGTGTCTTCTTTTTCTTCTCTTTCTGTGTTTTTAAACGATATTTTATTTCTTCTGTTTCAATTAACTTATCATATGCATTTGTGATAGTAGTCTGCATTTTCCCGAAATAAAGGTCTTGTGCCAAGGTACAGTTTGATGCAAAAAGAAACCTGTATCAAACGAACCCTATATCCAGCCAGCGAACACTGATCACAATCCCAAATATACTGTCAAACTACTTGTATTCAGCGGACTCGGATACTGAAATGGGCCCTGTTTTTGGGTAACTTTATTAAATACTATATAAGTTAATGTAGTCATAATTTTTAAATTGAGTTGCTCCTTCTTTTTTGCAAACGTCTTACATTGAATTGTCATGCGATGAAAAGAAAGTTTCAAATAGATTCAATTTTTAGCATTGGGAAGGTGGATGATGTACTTGTTGTGCTAACTGTCGGTTGAGTGATCTTTTTCTAACACATGGCAAGTGTTTCTTGCCTCTAAAACTCTTGATGTTAATGAAGGTGATACATGATCATATGTCACCGACAATCCCCTCTCCAAGTATTAATGGCCTGGATTTCTCTGCCTTGACCCAATCTATTTTGTAGAGATCCCTCCAAATCAGAAAACGTGAACGCAATGTGTGACTCATCAACTTGTTTATTATTGAAGGAATCAACGATTTTAAATGATTTGTTTGTGTCAGTATTCGCGTTTTTTGCTTTATTCCATGCATCAGCCTGCATTTCGAGTCTCAATTTAGCTGGATAGTTTGTTGGCTGATATCTCATAGAATTTGCAGGAAATGTCTAAATGTCTGGGTCAGTATAATCAAAAGTTTTTTCTTTGCGAAATCACGTCTATATATATCAAGACTGCGATTCTGCCACTTTTCTTTAATCATGAGTCCCATTTGCTGATTGTGTACTGCCTCAGTTTGTCTGTTGGTGTCCTTTTAACTCGTCAGTTTATTTATCGAAAATATTGGCTTGAAAGTCAAAGATCATAGATGATTGCCTTGTGCGAAGTATTCGCTCAGTCTGATACATCAGCAGGCTTTTTGAGTCTTAATATAGCCGTTTAGTATCGCCTAGAATTAGATGGAAATGTCTAACAGTCTGAGTATGTTTTAATCTGAACTGATGTAGCGGCGTGAGTATAATCAAAAGTTTTATCCTTGACCGATTTTTATTTTTTGTTTTGCCTGGTAAATTGAGATATGCGTGTTCATTGAAGTGAACGTGAGCGAAGCGCGCCGTGGGTTAGAACTATTTTGTTACGGTGGCCAAAAAAATTTTAATAGTCAAGACTGCGATTCTGCCACTCTTCTTTTCATCATGAGTGTTACTTGTATCTTTTACTTACGAATTTTGGGATTTTTGACTGGGTTTAGATTGTCTGTTGGTGTCCTTTTATTAGAGAGCATTCATTTCCAGACCGGCGGAGATAAGACATTTGCTGTGGCTGTATTTTTCACTGGATTAAAATTAATGAAGAACCGAAATGTTAACCGAAGCTTACCAGAAATGTTTAATTCGACTCAGAGCTTGAAGAAAGATTAAAAGAGACTACTATGTCATGATATTCTTGGAATTTTTCAACAAAAACTACTTTTAACTTGAGATCGGACCTTGCTGATATCCTATGTGTATCTTCATCTAATTCGGAAAAGTAATCCTGACAATGAAAACATTCTGAAAATCCATACAAACCTCTTCAGCTGCTAATGGTCACGATGATCACTGTACAAGACTCCATTAGTAAATATGGGATTATGTCAAAACAAATGAAAGAGCAAAGAAACAGGAACAGTAACAAAAACAAAATAAACGTGCTCACGATATTCATGGGACAACATTGTTATAATAACGCGCTCTTTTCTGCACAGGTCTCAAACAGCATAGTGCAATATATTCCTTAATTTTTTTACTTTGTGGATCAAATTAAAAACGTGTCGTCACATTCGTTAGGGGAACGTACATTATTTGTCTCGCTTCTTAGTTGTCTGTAGGTGCTGTGCGATTTCAGGGTTTGGGTGCCATCTTGGATTGACTGACTAGTATTATTTATCTACCTATTCCTTCGTCCATCCATCATTATTCAAAGGTATACTATTATCACCCACGAAAGAACTCTAACTCTAACTCCAACTCTGACTCTATCTGGCTACACTGGAACATTAAATAAAAGTTTTAATCAGGGCGCATTTCTTTGAAGATTATGACGAATTTCGTCGAACTACCGTTTCACCTAAAGAACAAAATTTAGCGGAAAAACCATTTTAGTTTAGATTACCATACTGAGGAATGGTTTGTTATGCACCATGGCCTTGGAATGTTTCAGCTCAATTCCACGAGGGGCTAATCATTCAGAGAACTGAAATATGATGATGATGGAAAGGCACCGAAAGAAACAGAATTTTTTTCAGTTCCCACGCTTAGTGCAATTTTTGGATTGACAATTTTGATCTAAGGTCACGGCAAGAAGCCCATTGGTTGAAGTGTATCACATAAGGAGATATTTAACGTAAACACATTTGACTAATTTTAGCCACGAAAAGACTTCGCGACATGAGATAGTCTGATACAAAATATGGTCGCAGAATGACTCTGAAAAGAACTTGAAAACCGATTTGAACCGGCTGACTCCTGTGCCTTGAAGGTTAAATTGAAATCAATGATTCTGCTGCCAAGAAACTTACCCAACTGCTCCTAAAAGAGATGTAAGAAACGTGTAATCTGGTCTTCAACCTTATGGCATGCAAGGCACAGCTCGAGAACAAAGGTAATACATCGGTTAGATTCACAGAAGATTACGAGGCATGTATAGGAATGACTACCTACGTTCCAGGGCTTTATTTGACTTACTTCTTGTCACTAGTCATGAGGTTTACCTGATATTTGTGAAGGTCTTTCTTCACAGCGAAATAGCCAACAACTGACTGGAGTTTATTATGTTTGCTTATTTCATTTTGTGGAGACTGCATGCAATGACCTACCTAACGGCTAGTTTGCGACAAATCAAGCCCAAAATATAAGAAGGAAATTTCCCAGTCTTCATTTCAGGTCATTTGTTGCCCATGTACAGATTACCTTTGTCAAAATACCAGTTAGCATTAGTTTAATGCCTTTTGCTAACCCGAGGAGCAAGTGAGTTTTTAGACCTTTCGAGCTTTCACGTGTTTTGAAGTATGTAGCCGCAAACACGTCATAACCACGTTTGGAAAGTCACGTGCAACCTTTAAGAATAGGTTTTTGCAGGAATTGTTGCCGCGATAGTTTAGGTTTTCTGATGTACTTAAATAACCATTTGTAGGTAAAACGAGAAGCCTCTAGACTACCCTTCTATCTGATTTGTGCTAACGAAATGTTTTTTAATACAACCTAGCAGCCCTACGTAGGTTGCAACTTTTTGTTTAAATTCCATAACAAGAGGTGTGACGTTTTTTTGGTTTACATGGAATTTCAGGCAACAAGTTACTCTTGAAGTAAGCTGGTTTCTCCAATGTGTAACAGAGAGTGATTCGCCTCTGGTCGGTTTTATGGTGATAGGGGGTTGATGATTTTATTCAATAGTTCGTTGCAAATGCAAGGGATTTATCTGAATGCAGTCGACCTCGCTAACGCGAACCTTCAAGGGAAATGCACTTTGATAAATTTGGCTACGTCACAGACTTCGAGTGCTACTGGAACGTTGTGAAGAAGGGGTTATGCAACGAAACTTCATGAGGACGCAATTCGCTGTAGTTGTGTACCCTGAAACGAAACCCAGATGGACGGGCACTAGAAAAGTTCAATATTTTACCTATTTAAATACAATATTCTGAACACAGAACACTTCGTTTTGGCTCATTACGACGTGAAACGTATCGCTCGATTTATTGAGAGTAAGATTTTACCAAGAATGACCTAAACGGAGCGGAAAATTTATATAGGTTTGCGTAAGGTTCAAGTCAGCAAGGGTTGCCGAGATCGAAATTGCGTTAAACGAATAACAGATGTCAAAAGGGGAAATCGATTTTTCTTCAAGCTGGCGAGGGTAATTGAGTGTCGACTGTTTTTCCTTGCTCTCAGGAGAAAGATACACATAAATTTTGATAATTCACGCAACGTGCGATATTGCATTCTCATTTATCAATAGCATTTATTTCAATTCATCATGCCTGCTCTCTTCTGGCTTGCAACCTCGACGACAACAAGAATGATCCGTAGTTTTATGGATGCATATTGTTCATATTGATCGGTATCCGAGCTGACTCCAGTCGACGTCGAAAATAAAGGACCTACAGTAACTAAAAAAAGAAATACGAAAATATGGCAACTGATGTCCGCTTCTTACAGCTCAGTCCAGCGGCGGGATACATCAAAATTTATGCAAGGCCACGTGAATATTTATCAGCTAACCATAGTCATTGGGAAGGGGGGGGGGGGGGGGGGGGGGGGTCTAACAAGTAAATTTGTTTCATTTTATACCTAGTTTCTTCCTTTGTTCAATTTTTTTTCTCCGGCACAGGACGATCTTCATTTGAAAACATGACTAGGTACTCTTGATGTCTGAGGCATAGTTTATTTATACGCTAGTCTCTTAGGGGGGGCTTTTATCATCACAAGCGGGCAGTTTCTGTTTCACTTTTCAGTCCTGTTACCGACATGAATTGATCAACATAGTGCTCTCGATAAAAAGATATTCCTTTCATTAACAAGTTCTGACTCAGGCAACATTAAGTCATGTCGTAGATCTTCTAGTTTGAATTTAATTGACGGGTCAGTTTAATCAAACCTCCGAAAATGTGACATACCCGATAACTGCTAGTCTTTTGAATTACGAGATTGTACCTTTTAAAAACCTTATCTGTTGTGTTTATTTTTTAAAGGTAAAACACAGTGTCATTTCTCACGCCTACATCCGACTGTACCTCTCTTTAACCTTCCAAACATCGACCTGGATTCATTGTCATGCTGTTTTGTCCTTACCACAATTTTATTGCAGAGTCTCTGAGATACGTCGAATTAAATAATATTTCTACGTTAGCGCTTTTTTCGTATTGCGTGGTCGTTAACATAGGTGCTTTTTCATGATTGTTTTGTCAGGTGGACATACTTTCCGTAGTTACCAGGCGATACACCACTTCTTGCGATGAAATCCAGTGAAAGCCAGTGAAGCTGTTTCCATTCTGTTGTGACCATTTCCCGCGCAACGGAGAATCAGCGCTTCGGCACTGTCTGGTGGAACAAGTTTTTTCAAAGATAACTTCTACTGCCAGCATTGCCTTGAGGCAGTCGTATTGGCGGTGTTATCTCGATCTGCAGCAAAGCATGCGCATTTCGTTTCGTGCCTGAGGTGTCGCGGGCTGCAACAGATGTTCGAAATTTCTTTGAAGGAGTAACATCACAAAACGGCAGAAGACTTCTTTGAATCTTGATTTTTCCTCCCCCAGTGATTGAAAAGTGATCTAACTTTCGTAGAAAGCTGATTCGAGTGCTACCACCCCTCCCTGTGTTTTTTGTCTGAGCGCGATAAACAGTTGTATTTAATGGCGTGTTACAAGGAACCTTGACATAAAAAGACGAACGTGTAAAAGACAAAGACCCTCCGCGGCTTTGAACTTTTGAAAAGTTAATGAGTACAAATGCCTTGGCTGATCTATGCTTCTTTCCATCAAAACTGCTAGCTTCAATCTCAAGTAGGAAAGTTCGCATTTCGCGTATGTCGGGTCTTTTACTAAGAATAATTTCTCCAGTTCTTGAGTTGATTTCAAAAATCGTAGGTGTCTTGAGGTTCTCCGATAAAAGAGCGTAAGTGATGATGCGTCTATCCGGGAAAGTTCTTGCCTGTAGTTTACTAACCACCGTGTGAAGACGCGTACTTTCACTTACTTTCACCATGTATTGGTCATTGGTAAAGGAAATTTCTAAATTGAACAAGAATGAAAGAACATCAGAAAAGACATTTGCTATAAGAAATTGTTTATCAGATTTTGCTCCTCTATCTTTTTGTTCAAATTGTCCCTCTTTTCTGTTTGTTTTCATTTACGTTTTTGCCTGCAGGAAGCTAAGTGCACGTGCTATTGAAACAAAAGTCCCTGAAGTTTTTCTTCTCTGCGGTTAGATGAAAAGAGATCATGCCAAAGAAGTTGGTAAAAATCTTGACAGAGCCATGATTTATGAATAAACCCCTAGCAGGAAAGAAGCGGCTATGTGCCAACTTTCTTGTGGTTAGCCTTCATATCATGCAAACAAGTTATCAAGAGCGTAAATTGGCGCTGCAAATGGAAATAGTTTCTGGAGATTAATCAATCCTCTTACCAAGATAACACGTTTTTTTATCAGAGTTCAGCGCATATCCCGATGGACATGCGCAGCGGTACGAGGATCTTGTGTTAATGCAGAGGTGGGAACATCCTCCGTTGTTCTTAGTGCACTCGCTTCTACCTGCTGAGGTAAAAGAAATTGACTGAACATAAGCGCAAGCGATTAATAGTGAGCAGGTAAGGAAAAATGTTATTTACAGTTTCAGAAAAACGGCGAAAGTGACACGGGTGTATACTTAAACAGCCCGCAACAATAGACAGTATATGGTATTGCAGATGGCTCTTTACCGTATGTTGTCGCTAGGATTTAAGGGAAAGAGACGAGGGGAACATTATACAATCTAACCTTTAACAGAGTTAACGGGACAAAAAGTGCCTTTTTGAAACTACCAGAACAGGACTATGAGAGTTTCGTCTTCAAGAAGGCAAACAACGAATTTACTTGTAGATCCCACCGAGCAAATACTATCACTCATCAATGACAAAGAATCTATAGAGGATTATATTATTTACAAAGTATTATCGACTGATCTTAAAATGAACCATCATCAAATGAAAACAGTGGCGCCAGAGTGATAATTTCGTGCACACAACACTAATTTGTAAAAAAGCCTTCGAGTGAGCAATTCTCACTCAGTTTGAGCTAACAGCTTACTTCTGATATACAAATAGAAACTGTGGAGCTACTTTTGGACTGTCCGTGATAATCAACTGCTCCTAACAAGGAAATCCTATGTTAGCACCTGCAGGCCGGAGACTTGTCATGACTCCCCTATTTTTGGCGTTGTCTATCACACTTTATCCCTCTTTACCCTAAATGCCTTTTCAAACTTGTTATTTAAAAAAAAAAGGGTCTTGAAAATTGGAGAAAAAAAAGCTCACGAGTACTCGCCTGAGTCGAAAGAATGCGGCTTACACTAAACCTAATGACAGCTGCTAATGATCGGATGGTGATCAGATTGGAAGTTAGGATGAACGTTTCCTCCCTTGAATAGAGGATCAATTCCAAGCTTGCAATAGGCCAAGTTTATCACAAATGGAACGTTTTCTTGTTTGTTAGTTTTGAAGCCTAATTATAGAAAAACATTTGATATTAAAACGGAAGCCATAAATCTAAAAGGAGATTGCTTGAGCTTGTAATCCTGTTAAAAAGGAGAATTGGAAAACTTGACACCGCTCGTTTTTCGCCTTATTTACAGGAGTGCTATTATTACTGTGATATAGGATAGTTCGCATGTATATGTTAACATTTTCCCACGATATGGATATATCCAGACGAAATTTGAAATTTTCTACATAAATAGCGCTAACTATATGAAATAAGATTAGGAATTTCTGGCGTCAGCAGTATCTGCTATGGAAACGCATTTCCTTTAGAGAGTCCTTTTTCAAGGTCCGTGCAGCCATGGCCAGGAATCTGCATGCAAGGCAATTTTTTACTAATCAAGTATAACGAGATTCATCAAGCATCTGTCAGCTCGCATCAGTAGTTTGTTGCTAATGTTATTTAAGAGAATCAAAACCGTCGCATATGGGCTGTGTGCCCTTGCTCCAAATTCCACCCACTGCCAGTGGGCCTTGACAATATGGCACCAAATCACCCTTCATCTTAGTCTTCGTCAAGAGCCAAATTGTTTTTCACTTACTTTTAATTAACACATAGGAAAAAAGTCACAAAACGAACTAATCATCACACTATTCAGCTTTTTTTAAAATCATAAATCTCTTTGAAAATTGATTCAGAGCCGTTTTGAACTTTGACAGTTTCTAAAAATCAGCCCGTAATCGCCGACTTTCTATTTCCGGTTCTAAAGATGGAAAGCGACGGAAATTTCTTGCTGTCGATAGATAATCTCACTGCACACGAGACACGCGGTAAACCACACATGACACAATTATTCCAAATATTACGCCTTTGTTGTTTTAAAACGTTTATCTGATTAATTGATTGTTGACTTTTCTTTTGAACTCTTCTGATCCAGGTACGTGCGGGCACGTACGCCAAGCCTCCTCAAAGTATCTTGGGAAATTGTCCGACTCAGCCGCATATAGATGACGACGTCGCCGATCACGCCGCGGGGAACCTTAAGCGATAACTAACTTTTATGAGAGAATTCTAATAAATTTTTGGACATGAAAAAGTTTTTCAAGTTTGATATCTAACTTGCCTTGTGCTGCTTTTAGGAGGTTACTTCAGCATGAGTCATGACCTTCTTTTCTTTTTCTATTTAAGGTGGTCGAAATCATTTTCATCTAAATTTAATCTGTTAGACTGACATAATGATCTCTTTACTAATATTTTTTGTCTCAGCCACGAGCCGTTCCTCGAATATTACAGAGAAACATTCGCTATTGGTTGGAACTATCATCAAAATATAAGTAGCAACACAGAAGATATATATACATATATATATTTATATATATATCTATATATACATATATATATATATATGGGATAGAGGGAAAAAGTTCAAGAACAATCGTGAAATTGTGCGGGAGGATGGCCAATAGATTGTCAATTAAAATTAAATTAGTTGCTTCTAAGTGAAAGCGCTTGCAACGTTGATCCAAATTTGGATTTTCCTTGGGAAAAAAGGGAATCTAGAAACCTCTGAGCAACCGTGATCGCTTTTAGGATTAGGAATGGTTCTTGCGCATGTTAAAGCTTATGTTGGAGCTAAGTTTAGTCAGAGAAGCTTTATTGTAGATGCTGCGAGAAAACTCTTTAAAAAAGACACTGAATATTCCAGTGAAACTCACCAATATTTAATGTAATTTCATTAAAAACTTAATAACACGTTTTGTCTATGAACTCGTCGACATATGTATTTCAGTTACTAGATATCAGACTGATATGCTGTGTCTTGAATGGATAAAAACAATTGCAGCAAATAATTGTCTCCATTTTTTCCGATTGCGTGTTCTCTTGTTGGCCTGTGTGTAGCCTTGCAGCAAAAACCAGGAGACCAGATGCAAGAGCTAATGCTCTCTTGTTATTTAGGTGAAGTTTTTAGCCTTCGTCGTTGCAATATATGTTAAAAGATAACTTATAAAATGATTGAACTTTTACGAAAAGATGACTCAACATAACTGTGTGATGCGTTGTTTGCATAAGCAAGAAACGATTTAACTGTCTACACGCCCGCACAAAATCTCCTGAAAACCCTTCAGTATGTCAGTGCTTTAACTAATAGCCATAAATACTATGAGAAAGTCTGCGCATTCCATCTATTACGCATGTTCGGGGCGCAGTTTTATCCCTTTCGCGTAAAATCTGAGGTTCCTTCAATTATTTCGATTACCTCTGCACCTTTTCCCGTCCGGTGCTAGTTTATAGCCTTTTCTGCACTTGCAATAATGGCTCCCTCTCGTGTTCACGCACTTGTGTTGGCAACCTCCATTATTATATTTGCATTCATTAATGTCTGCGATAAAAGACAAAAGATGTCATCGAATGACCTCACTTACACTGATCGGCTACTTTTTTTTTTTTTTACTTTCGTTTTTCTGGTTGTCTCCTTGTTTCAATGTATTTGTTTATTTTTCAAAGTGACAGTTTTTTCCGTATTCACAACTTAAGCTGGTTGCAGTATGTATCACTTATATCAAACAATTTGGAACTTAGTCATCACTCAAAACAGCCAAATCTATCCTTTGCTTATCAATAAAAGCTTCTCTTTAATCTTACCTATGTAAGCAAAATCTAAAATATTTTGAACATAAGATTAATTACTGAACAAAGCAGGTGAAGCGAAAGAGTATTCATCTATGTCAAGGAGTAGATTGAGAATAGCTGTCGTGGGCCTCATTTAAGAAAGTTATTATTATTATCAAGTTCAGGTTATGCACATGAACTTGAAGTTGAAACAAAGTGTTTTAACTATGAAAACATCAATAAATTTTTAACCAATCGTGCAACTCAGCCGTGATGAAAAGATAACAAATTTTTTCAGGCATCCAACTATTGGTTTAACATCAAGATGTGCTAATCCATAGCAAAATCATAAAAGTGTAAGACTTTTAAGAGTTATCAATACATTTAACTTCCACCTACCCACGCAAGTCGCCTCCTGCTTTCGCCCTTTGCTGACATAACCATCAAGGCAGCCACACACAAAACTTCCAAGCGTGTTTGTGCACAGCGTGGGAAATGTGCACACATCCATTTTGCACTCGTTTTCATCTGTTTAAGAGTGAAGAATGTAGAAATTAAAAAACGTGAACATTATTAGTAATGTCTTCATTTCATTGTGTTAGAAGCTAAAATAGGAGGTACTTGTGCGTACATGCGTCATAATCATTAGCTTGTTGAAAGGATGGATATCGCAGTCCGACTAGAAGAGAGGTCTTCTTTTTTTCGGTGACAGAAAAGCACAGAGAAAGGCTGTGCGGGTTTATTACCTCTCAAATTCCTCATTTTCCCGAGAATTTCCTGCATGGAACCTCATTCACTTTTTCTACTTTACTTCGGTGGATATAAATTTACTCACTTGTCTTTATTCAAGAATGAATACTTGAACTTACCAATTGCTGTGTAGGTTATGGAGAATCCCTTGCCAGTGATTGACTGATCAGAGTAAAATTGAACCCAGAGAGTGTTTTTTTTGGATATGAATCTGAATGGCACTGCACTTCCACAGTGTATGTGTGGATTTCGAAACTGTTTTGAACTGGACAGCATAACTTTATCCTTTTGGCAATTATCTGAATTTTGAAGATCAATTGATCCGAAGCGGGCCTTGATAAGGTATCCACGAGGTACTTGTACTTTCCAAGTGCATACTTGGTTTACGTCATAGTTGTTAGGGAAGTTTGGGGAACGGATTCTACCGTGGGGTTTCCTGAGTAGAATGGTCTTTCTGCTGCACCTTGCTGACAAACTGGAGTTGGTGGGAGCACCACTCGTAGAGGGTGTGGGTATTTGAGTTAAGTTGAAATAACCACTATTTATAGATCTTTGGGTTGCGTTGGAAGCTGTGCAAAATAAATAACCTGTTCAGAATGACGTTAATATCTATGTCCGAGCATAGCACGAAATTCTCTGGTAACGGCATACGAGTTGCAAAACTTGCAGAAGCTCTGAATTAGAGAGAGAGCGAGACTAACTTTTCTATAACAATGAAACGTCTCTAAAACAACCTAGTTATCCTCAGCTGAAAAAAATTGTAGCAACAGAAAAACTCTCCCGTCTTTATGTCATGCTGTGTACAGTCAGGTTGTAATTACCTGTAGTAATGAGTACTTGAGTTGCATTGGTTTCATTGGTTGCGTTGGTTGCGTTGGAACCTGTACAGATGAAAAAAGCAGTTAGAATATCTTAAATTTTTTATCCACGAGAAGAAATTAATGCATTAAATTCACTGAATTTTCCTAACGCAATCTTTTTTCTAAATTGACAAAAATTTAGCTTGTTACTTTGCAACCCTCTTGGTTAAGTTATTACTTGGTCAGCGGACTGCTGGGGTAATATGCCAGTTTATGACACTTGTTTATCTGTGACACCCCTAAATCCCGCCAGACACTCATACCCTTTGACTCAGTGAGAGGACTTTATCTTTACCAAAGCATAATTCGGCGAAATGTGTCTCCTCCCCAACAAGAAAAAGATAGTGTTATCAAGATGTCATAGGATATGTTGCTGCCGCCTGTTTTTCTCTTCTTCACGTTACAGACATATAGAAAGCGGTATTTATTACGATACGTGCCACTCGACTCGCGGACATTTCAATTGCTTAAAAATTTATTGTGTGGCCACAAAAATGTTTTATTTCTTTCGACAAACACTTTTTATTGGCCCGGGTCTGAGTGACAGTTTTATTTGATTTTCTGAAACACTCGAGTATCTTAAACCAGAGAACAAATCAGAACTGCCTATAAAATCTAAATTTAACCTTCAAGTCTCAGCGATGAAATCCTGTTGCATTTTGTTAGTTGCAGGAAGAACCATCGTTTTTGTTTACGTATCGTGTTAAATAAGAAGCCTTTGTGGAGTTACCATTTGCTTCAGTTGTCTTAAAAAAGTAAACTTCAAAAGGACTCGTGCAAAGTTCTCAACGTTTCCCCTTTTAACCGCTTTTGTTCCAGAAAGCCTAAAATAATTACCACAGTTATAACAGGTTAAAACCTTTGATTTCGTACACCTTTAAGTTAATCACTTCTTCTAGAAAGTTCCTTATAATCAAAATATTTAAAATTATTTTTAGGTTTTTTCCGACCTGCCTTCTTTTGTAAAACCGGCATACGGATACCAATTGCTGCTCTGTTAGTGATCATGACAAGAACTCACGCACAATAAGCTGTTGATGGATGGATTGCCAACTTTAGAGGGACGACATGATAAGGCGCGACTTTCGACTAATGACTTGAGCGCTCGTATGAACATCTCACTTTGCTGAAAACTTGGCTGAAGCTTTGTTTCGAGGAGACACATTACTAAGCGGTTCTTTTCATGTAAATATAGGATTGAAATGAAATGAAAAGATAAGGGAAGGCTTTAACGTAATCAGGGTAGCAACACTTGCCATAGGTAGACCGAGATTAAAGTTTCCGTCTACAAATAATTACAAGATTGGTGTATGATAAAAGCTATTTCCGTACAACATAAAGCAATCAATGCCTTCTGAGGACCTCGAGTTTACTGAATGCATCCCTTATATCAACAAAAATAGTTGAGCCCACCATACGCTGCTATCACAGTGCGGCGATAAAATGTTTTTGAATTGGAAAAAGAAAACACGATCCAGGATTATGAGACGGCATCATACTATAGAAAGAAACACTCCTGAATAAACATTTGTGAGCAGTTACAAAAACAAACGTAAAATTCCAACGTGAAGGTAAAAAAAAAAAAAAAAAAAAAAATTCGAATCGAGGTGATGCTTCTAGAATGAAGTCTATTTCAGCCATTCTGTCTCCATTTTTAGCTGAATCAAGCTGCAAGGATCTTATTCCCATCGAACTCATATTTTCTCTGTTCCGGCGAGAAAAGTATTAAGAAGCGTGAATTTCATTAAAGCTCTTCTTTTCTGTTTTCTTATGCAGTGAGGGCCCTTTTTGTATTAATACTCTTTCAAGACTGATTAGCAATCGCCAGTAAGTCTAGCACGTCAAGCCCCAAGTGACTCGTTGAGTATTCTATCGTGCAATACAGCTATTAAGAAAGGCAGGAAATTTGCTTGTTAAAAAGAGCGATATGGTCAAGTATCCGACTCACCTAATAAGCGGTCTCAATCATCATTTACTGCTTTAATTTTATTAATGCAAACTTAATACTTAAATCACCTTGTGTTTGATTAAGATTTCCCTTGTATCCAGGCACAGCCGAGATTCTGCAGGATGAAATGTTTTGCCAATACTTTAAATTGTTTTCAACTAGGAGATCGCACATGTAAAATTGACCTCTGTGTCAGCTTAGCACGAAATGAGATGTAAAACGTGCAAAAGGTTTGAATTAGAATTGAGGCCTACTTTAACTTTTACTATGAAACGCTTAAGCAACAAGGGTTCTCTTCAATACAAAAGCCATGTGTCGTCTAACTGCATAATATCTTCACCTACAAGGAAACTCTGCAGTCATCAGTTCGCACATGAAACGAGAGCTACGGGTATTTCTAAAAGTTTTCCATAAAACTTAAAGCGGTTTTTTTTTTACTTACATGAGGATCCCGAGGAGAAACACAAAAGCTATAGACTTGTTCATGGCTGATCGACTTGCTCCAGCTATCTTGAAATGACGCGTGCACTCCGGACTTCACTGAAGAGTTTTATAGGTTGCGTATACGTATTTCATAAATCATCGGCTTTGATGGCGTTTGGCATTCCTTTCAAGGGTACATTTACAGCCAATCATTATAAACCAAAGGGGCAAACATTCTTCCTGTATAAAGAGGGAGTATCACAATACATTACTCAAGATGAACTTAGGCACTTCATAATGACAAAATCAATTGCAGCTATTACGGCGGATTACCGAGGTTTAGACGTTAACAATTGTTCCTGTAAACTTTGGCCACTAATTGCACAGTACAGCAGGAAACGCGTCTCTTTAACTAGCTTGAGTATAAAGATGCGGTTATCCTTTTAACACGTCGAAACTGTTGCCGGCCCCGTTCCGCAATTGTTAACGAAACATTAATTAATCCGACCGTCGCCAAACGTACCTTTAGATGAAGATATCAGTTAGTTTACTAATTTTAGTTAATCCCAAATTGCTTGACACTTGAGAAATGCCTGAAGACTGACGAAGTAACGAAACTTGATCTCTTAAATTTGGCCTTGAAGATTTGAAGAGAGACCCCTATTAATCAAAACCTGCGACATGAAACTCGACCACCGAGTTGATTATTTGCGGCACACTTTAATATCAAGAGCGCGGCGATTGCTTTATTGTTTTACAGTAACGATTTTTATCTTACTTAGGGCTGTGCGATCTTAAATCGTCGACAGTTAAAGCTCACCTCCTTTATTTAATTTTGTTTAGTATTTCTACAAACCAGCAGTCTTCTAAGACATCCTTTGGACAATAAATCAGTTACAATCTTTTGGCAGGACTTAATTTCCTCCTTTGTTTTCTTTTAAGTTATATAGACTTTCTGGAAGAGGTTTAGAGAGGCTTCTGAATAAAAGCCAAGAAAATTGATATAACTGGGGATTCTAGGTGTTTTGCTCGTAAGGCGTTGAAATAGACGGAGCGTATTTCCCTGTTTTCAGGATTTGATTGGTACCAGGTTGTCATGATTTCGCCACGGAGTCTACATACACCACATAGTGTCACATCTCACTGCTTGCAACTTAAAATCATAAATCATCTTCAATTGAAAAACATTAGCAGACTGGTAAGCTTTGTAAATAGTTTTTCAGAAGCGTCAGCATATACGCCTAAATTGCAACGAGAATGATTCTAAAGAACTTCTTCAGGTTGCATCAATATCTAGGTCCAGGGAGGCAGAGGAAGTAGAGTGGAATAAGTTACTACAAACATCAGTGTTTTCAATTGCATGCCAGAGTTGATGATCGGTCTTGAATGATGATGATAATAAAGAAAAACTACAACTGCGCTTTTGACTGACGTGATTTCCTTTTATCGTGATCGCATTTCTTTTTGGAAGAACGTCTTCCAATTGGAAAAATGAGGTAAACTTACATGACAAGAACAATCGTTGGAACCTTAACAAACTTGATTGCATGAAAACCTTATGACTGCACGGATGTAGATACTATAGCTAAGGCAGCAGTTAATACCTCAGATATTTCATCCTAATCTATCTTTAGAAAAGAAATAAAAGATTTTAAGAAAGGAAAATCAGAGACTTTGGCGTGCGTGCGGTTTGTTCGCACGTGTGCATTTCATCTTAACTATACGTTCCCATGATACGACTACAACATATTTTAACAAATATCAATTAAACAAATAAACGACAATTATTGGTCATGTAATTATCTGACCTCATTAGTAAACTGCCTTCCCGTCGCCAATGAAAATAGCGGGTTCCTTGGTCTAAGCCGAAAAGCGGAATTTTTTCGGTAAGCTGGTAAAAATATAAAACGTAGACGGAAAATTTAAAATTTCAAGCTCGTGCTCGGGCCATGAACTAATGATGGTTCAGGATTTATCGCTTTTACAAATAGTTTCACGCCTCTTTTCTAATTCGTTTTTACCATAACAAAGCAGTCATTTGCTGATTGGTTTTTTTTTAGCATTACGAAGGTCTTTCATGTGGTGTAGTCTGTATTGTTACTTAGAATGTGCACAAAAGATTTGCCAATAGGCTCAAAGTTATTATGACTCGCTGAGGTGACGGTCACGGTGTCTAGTGAAGGGCGCCACAGAGCTTGTGACTGACTCAGTGTCACATTTACAAGGCGCCAATACCGCCATTATTGCTGCGTCAATTGTCATGGATCTCATTAGCACGTTTAACACTGGCATAACTTTCTCGGCAATGTCATGAATCTCGCCTAATACTGAAAAAGCATTGTCACAATATATTTATAAATTACCTCTTGCAAATGTGGTATGTGTAATAAGTTTTCATGCATATACGCGTGTTTTCTGCGTTCCGTCTTGTTCTGCTTTACGCGGGAGGCTCGAAGAAGTTTGTGAGGAGGGCAACACTCATGGAGCTGCGTACTCATGGAGCTGATCATACGAACCCTTGGGGTTAAACGAAGAGATCATCTCGAATTAAGCTCACGCGGCTTTCCCTTTTCAAGAACTTGCCGCTTTCTGTTAACTTAACGTTCTGTATATCTCTTATTTGAAATTCGTAAAAATAACAATCGCGTAATTCACAGTTTGGATTTTGTCCAAAAGTTAAATTAAAATTAAGATATGGGTAAACGTGAACTTGATCCTTTCAGCAATGTAAGCGATTCAACGAAAAATCAACTTATACAAGGTGTATTAGCTCACAGCAGGAAACTTGCTAGTAATAGTGGATTTATTAAACGCAATAACCATAAAATTCATCTTATCTATTGAAGATGTTAGGACGCATCTTTCTAAGTTAGAAGTTTTTTCGTACAAAACCAATGCAATAGTTTGCCTACAAACTCCAATTAAACGTTATTTCTTGCCAGACCGGGCAAGCTACTTGGAAAGCTACTAACAGTCGTAAACGACGTCCAAACGAATCCTAAGTATAAAGAACTCACTACACCTGTTCAGCTTGAATGAATGACATTGAAATAAAATCGGGTAACAGAACGACTTAATTAGCTCAAACTACTCAAGCGATATTCTATCTTGATGCAATTAAAACATACCGAGACATAAATTGCTCTTGTGGTTTCTTGTTTGTCGTACTCCGTTACAAGTGCGGGCGGAAGACTTTTCTTTAACAGACGTAATTGAAGGACAACTGACTTTTCAATATTATGAATGTCAGCGAGTCGAGCTGGCGCCTTGATAATGCTTGTTGAAATGTTTACAGGTGTGAAATAGAAGTCGCGAGACACACCAGGTAATCAGGACTTACATGAATTAAGCTTGTTGCCAGCTTGTTTACGCTTTTTCTATGACCTTTTAATTATAAGGTGATGCTTTGATGATTTTGGTGTACAGTGTATCGGTGTGTGCGGTATAAGTTAACAGTCACAATGATAAGGATGAAAATAAATCAGAAACCTTAGATTGAAGGATCTTGATATTTTTAGGAAAATGGTCCAGGCGTGGTTTTGGTTTGTCGAGCCCAATCTGCCGTTTACTATTTTAACAATTTGTTTGTGGTTGCAGAAATACATACATATCAGTTTGGTCAGAGGCGTTTAAAAAACGTCTTAAATATTATATTTGATCCTCAGTACGAGGGACATCTTTTCAAAGCGACAGACTGACAGGGTCACGTTCAGCATGTACAAGTGTTTCCTAATTTCAAAAAAATTTCAGTAAGAAAACGTTTCCGCATGTGAGGCGAGCACTATTCTGATGGAATGTTATAATTTCGATGATGGCGCGAAACCAAAGCGGATTTTTTTTGCGTGCTCGTTTGGATCATTGCAACATGAGCTCCACATAAAAATAGGAATTCCAGGGGAAGAGTCCATAGTAATTCAAATCATTAATTAAAACAGACAACTGAAATAGCAACCGTTTATTTTAAACTATTCAAGCTTTTGAAAAAATTCTTCAAGGGCCCGAAAGGAAACTAAAGGTCAGTGGTCATATAAATGTAGAATCAATTAGTAATCTAGATGAACAAACTTTCCAAAAAGGAATTATAAAATACATGTTTAACAACATCCTTGATCGTAAGAGACACTTGCCAAGAGTCTTAATGACCATTCGGATTGTTTTGGGAGCTAACAAAGAAACGAACAGATCTTGTCAATCACCAAAACCTCCTACTCAGCCGTTCTGTCAGTTCTTGTTATTTTACCGTGCACGGGTTCTTCTTCCTCTTCTTCGTATTATTATTATTAGTATTATCATATTATATTATTATCATTATTACTATTATTGTCATTAGTTTATACTAGCAACATAGCGTTGACTTCTCCGCACACATATGCTTTTCACCGTAAGCATCCTGGCCACACAATGAGATACAAATGTGTGTAAGAGTAATAAAACTTACATATTCGAAGAATTTTGACATAGTCTTAGAATATTTTTGTGGTTCTTGTTGATCTGTTCTCGAATGTGATGTTTCTATGATTAACATCATTTTATGTGTTTTATTTACATAACGCTTTACACTGTTCTATCAGCGCAAGGTTTACATTTGTGAGTGTCTTCTAACTACGGAGATATCACTAAGTTGAGCCTTGAGTGCTTCAGATTGTCAAACATGGAGCACATGAGTGATGTCAACTTCCAAGGTTAGGAAAACAACCTAATGAGAGTACAAGTGCGTAGCTTTTTGTCCGGCAATATTTATTAGTTCAAGTTGGAGTTGTAGTCGAAAGTTGGAGTTAGAGTTAGAGATGGAGTTAATCAAGGAGAAAACATTGTAGAAGTTGCAACAGCAAGGTATGGTAAGAAAGCTTTGTGATTTCGGACTCTTGGCACCTTCCTCTTAGCGAGCTTGCTCAAGCTAGTTACCCCCTAACGTCCCTACAAAAGTTTTCCATGATTAATCCTTTGTGATAAGTTAAACAGAGTTTCGAACATTTCCTCATTTGAGCATGAAAACTGCGCGAAACGCCGACATAGTTTGAAGTAAAAAACGGTGGACAAAATGGCAGTCGATAAATGTCGCATAGAGATCCAACTAATACGTCACAATGACGAGGGAAGCTAGCTGTAGAACGCACCATGCTTTGCGTATAAGGCATCTGGAGGTCTCGACCTGTCTTTTTCAGTCTACTTTTATCTCTCGGTATCTAAAACGATCCTGCTTAAATCAAATTCCCTCCACTCTGGCTAACTCTTGTCGACTGACTCTATCTCTATTCGATCATTCTTTCTGAAATCTTCACTCTAAAGAACACGTTTTTGCATTTAATATCGGAGGCATTAGCCAACTGACCTTGCTAGATTAAAGATAGATTTGTTGTCAGAACACTAACCCGAAAACTTTACAAGAATCTCCCGAATAAACAACAACGTACATAATGTTTCCGATACAATTAAATCAATCTTTGACTGCATAAAGTATTTAGTGTGGGTCCAAGGCGAGGTTTGTAAAAAACTTAACTCGTCCACGAAATGGAAATTAAACAAGACAGTCACAATTAGGAAACTCGTCGCATTGGCTTAAAACCTAAATAACTCCGGACTTTGAATTCAAATAGTAACTGCTTGCTAATTATAAACAACGACTAAATCACATTTACCTAAATACTTCATAGCACAACATTAAGGTGGGAAAAGTTGTGCTACACAGCCTACACGTTAAGGGTAAAATCAAACAGATATCAGTCATTTATAGGGATAGTTACAAACATAGGACCTACTGAAGAGTCCACGGAGCACTCGCTGCATTCAGACATGACAATAAGAGCGATCTATGATCTTTTGATAAATTTTATTATCAACGCTGTTTCGATAAATGAGGTTTGCAGTCTCTTAATGACTGTTTCACATGTTTGTTCTGCGCTAACGAAGTCGAGTTACTGTATTTTGTAATGAAATCCTACGGACTATGAAATTGTTCTCAACCTTGGGACACACTCGTTAATCTCTTTGCAAAAAAATGAACAGATCCCGTCCAAAACTATTGTATAGCGCAGCTTTATGGAATGATTCGCGTAGTAGTGATAGTCTAAGCACAAGAAGAAAGCATGTTAATATTAAGGGACAAGTGATAATTCATTATTCTTGAAATTGCTTCTACAAAGTCATTAAGGCTCCATCTCAACTTTACTGTTGCTTATCGAATAGATAAGCCAATAGATGGACAGGTCGGGTCAAAGGAGACATCCGTTGCTACCCAATTGTCGAAGTTATTATGCAACTCATATTGATTTCGTGAGAGCGACAGTTGAACTTATACTAGAACACTGACAAAGATTTCGCGAGATAAATTAAGGTATTTTGTAAATTCTTTTAATTCGAGCTCTCTTCGGGCTATTAGACAAAGGAAAATGCCCTTATTCGCGAAAGGTTTCTTTAAGATTCACGTTCCATACTTCCACAATTTAAAATGAGGTTTAATAACATAGAGAACTCTTGCAATATGATTGGCCACTGAGGCGAGTTATTTATGGTGGAATTAGGGCTGACTTATCATACAACGCTGGTAACGCGCCAAACAAAGTCCAGACTTAACAGGAAATGACGGTGAGAAACACGAGACATCTGCATTTACAATTTTCGGTGGAAGAAGCATCACGTAAATTTTTATTTCAAAAATAAACTAAGCAGCATCCTTCAGCAAGGACTTAAACTAGGAAAGTTCTCCGAAAACAAACAAAAAATGCTACCATTTACAGCTTGCACGGTGACTTTTGTCACTGATAAAACTGCGTAACCCGTACTAAAGGAAAAAACAATGAAATACGTAAAGCAAGCTGGTCGAAGATTTTTGAAAGTCTTGGCAGCAGCCACTCAAAAGCACGCGTTAATAGAACACAGACATTTCTTAATAAAATATAGAAAATATGAAGTGACCAAACACTACTTGATTGATGGAGCTTGCCCTCGCGAGCTGTTTCACTGAAAAAGATCTGATTAAACTTTTAGCTTCTTTCACATACATTACACGTTTAAATGTTCCTACAGTCAATTTGAATGGTTTTTAAGGCGCCGAAGGAATAAAATTTGTTGGAAAAAGCTTTTTCTTTATTTTATTACAACATTTAAGCAATGCAAGGAAATTAACAACCTAACTATTGAATTCCAATTTAAATATCGCACTACTAGCTTTGCGATCCGCGTTATATCGTAAAATTGTATGCATCGTAAAGTTCCTTGGTCAGGTTGTTTCCCTAAGCTTAAGTGATTAACTCATTACTAGTCATGTCCATCGGAACCATCAAGAAGTCTATTACTCATCTACCAGGGAGGGATGGTGAGGCAGACAACCAGCTTTGGGTGTAAATCTAATAGTGGATGATCTCTGGAAGCAAACTTCATCAATGCATCTGCATTCGATTCTTTTCTGACCTTCAGCAAAAGTCCATAATTTGGCTGATTTCTGATCTGCCAATTTCTCACAGCATGTTGAATATCGAGTTCAATCCATCGCTGACCTTCTCCAGGTTGCAGGCTTTTGCTTTGTGTCAGCCTGTGAGGGAAAAATCAGACGTTAGCCAAGTTGGGATTAATAAACCTCTCATTTATCGTTATTTTTCGATCTTTATGATCAAAATTTGTAATAATAACAAAATATGTTGCTGATGTCACTTCGCCTATCCTACCCCTCCTGTCTCAGTTAACTCAGTTATGAAGTTATGTATAGATACATTAAATTGCACGCAGATGAAATGTGGCTGAGACAAAGTACTGCCCACAATGATGCCGTGAAAAGTCATGGGTTTAGTCACAGTAATGATTTTCTAAAGGGTTGGCCTTTCTCGTAAAGCAATGAGACACTTAAAGGGCACCGCCAATCGACAAGAATACTTATTCCATATGAAAGAGGACATTCTTAAATCAATGATACGGTCACGGGCTTAAAAGAAAACTATGCTTCATACCAACATTGAGAAGTATAACGCATGGCCTTTGCTTTTTATTTACTGAGAGTTTCAATATAACAAACCCAGCGCCGAGGCCTTTCCTCTGTTAGTAAAAGCATAAAGTTTACGGCAACGGCATTCGGCCAAAATTGTTTCTATCAATTTAATCTTAATCAACTTACAATGGGCGTGTTACATATGATTATGCTCACACGCGTGTTACAAACTTCCGTTGAAAAGTACAACGTACGATGATTAGATACAATCAAGGTTCACAATGCATGATAAAATCTAGAATATGATAAATACATATATTATTATAGTTATAATAAGCATACTAGACTAATTGTCTAGTTCGGAAGTGAATAGCAAGTACTATTCACCTCTAAGCAGCCGAAAAGACAAAACCGCGCATTGAGACTTTAATTTCCGACCATTTTTCGGTATATTGAGAGAAATGAACTAATTTTTGGTGCCTGTGTGGTATATTCTAAAACAATTACTCACCTCGGTGTCGGTAAAAGTGGTAGATATTAACCTCGCTGCTTTTCAGCTCGTTAAATATCCACCATAATCACCTACACTTTGGCGAATAATTGTGAATATAAAAGTTTCAAAATCTTAAAGTTAATAAGTTAGGGAAGCCACATGTCTCTTTCGATAGACAAATTTTCTGGAGGCGTTTGATGTTCGCGGGTTACAAAGTTACAAAGTTTGGGTGCAATGGTCAACGAGTGGCCACAGAAAGTAGCTAGAATTCTAATATTTGGAAATAGTAAAAGAAGTTTGTTATTCGAAGACCTCAGATGGTATCCAGGAGCACAGTTCAGTAATAAATGTAGGAGCGAGTATTTTCGAAGCTTTATATGTTAAGAGAAATGTTTCAATTTGGATTTTGTTGCGTACCAATAACCAATGAAGACCAGAAAAGAAGGGGGTAAAGTGGTCAAAAAGTCTAACATGGCAGATACGTCTTACCATTGCGTTCTGTGCACGTTGACGTTTTCAGTGGGTTATTAGGCAGACCATACAAGAGGATGTTACACTACTCTTAAAAGCTTGTTACAAAAGCGTTGACTAGGGTCGGGCTCAATAAGGCTTAAGCGGAATTTTTATAATTCTTCTCATGTTGTATGGGCGAAAAGAGCCGGGGAGCTTCACACATATTATGAATGTGAGTATCCATCTTAAACTGTGAATCAAACCAGCATCGAAGGCTCTTTACATTACTGGTCGAAGTGTTTATACTGTTACAATTTGTTATGGGTTTATAATGACTTTTACAAGTTGCTGTCACGCACCCAGGATAATGATTTCTATTTTGTCGTTGTTTGATTTAAGCTTGTCTAATAACAACCAATTTCTGATATCTGCAACGCAGCTTTGCATGGCTACAAAAGCAGCTGATTGCTAATCCCTGGATTTATTTAAAATTATTATTTTGTGTACACGCAATTCAGCCCTCCAGTTGCAAGTTGCACTTTTGCACACACAATAAAGCCTTAAAAAAAAATGGACTCAGCTTTGAAGAAGATATATAACTACATGTCGTCAGCATACACAGGCATGAATATCAGGAGGATGCAGCTCGATGATCGTGAACGTAACGTAAATTACAAACAGAAGAGGGCTAAAACATAGTTCCTGTGGTACTCCGTACTTGACATTGACCCGCATTGATGAATATGAACTGCGTTCTATTGTGTAGATGAAACTTGAACCAGGAGTGCGCTAACTGAGATGCCGAAGTCCGTATGTAGACGATCAAGAGGATGGAATGGACGACAGTATGTAAAGCTGCACTTGAGCCGAGTATAACTAAGAGAGTAACGTCTTACTGAGTCATGTTAAATCAAAATTAATACCACAACAGCACAGTTTCCGTTCAGTTTGATTTACGGTATGAGGATTGGGCTTCATACACAGTCAAATAATTATTAGTTTGACTAAATACAGCTTGGTCTATTAGTTTAGAAACAAACGAAAGGTTACTGATGGGAAGAAGGCTGTTGAAAGACATTTCTGCTTATGATTTCTTTAATCTCGGATGGACAACAGCTTGTTTCAAGATATCAGGAAAGCGTCCAGCTTGTGAGGGCGTTTATTATCTTAGTAAGTACAAGTAGGAAGACATCTAGGCACTCAATCACGAGGGGAGTTGGCTTGGGGTCTTAGGAGAAAGATTACTTACTTGATTTAGCGAATGGTTGTGAAACATTTTCCTTATTAAAAATTGAAAATGAATCAAATGTAGGACAATTTTTTGAGTAAAAGGGAGAAGGAAAGGTCGTCTGGCAGAGTGCTAACACTGACTGATTGCAATTTTCTGAAGTATCTTTGTGTTTCCCTACGTGAAGGCGTATTTATGTCAAGCTGGCAGTGGACGGGAAAATGATCCGAGAAGAGATAGTCAGTCCATGCTGTAGAAATACCAAGACGATCAGACTGCCTCGTTATGATATGGCCAAGAATGTGTCCACTCAAGTCTGTTGGAATAGTAACATGATGCTGCAGTCCAGTGCTTTCTAGAAGTTCGCGATACCACCTTCCGTGCGGCTAGTCTGCAGATGATCAAGAAGAGATTCGCAAACTCCTCGTCCTTGTTATTCAGAGATTGTCCATTGAGAACATAGAAACGCGAATCATCTTTGCCTTGCAATGGAATAGGTTACAGGTAGCAAAATATTTCCATTTCGTAAGGAGAAGTATTTACGTCTAATACGAGATCTAAATGGAAACATCGCAGGAATCCTGAATGTTGTGTCTAAACCCGAAGGTCTGTTGAGATCCTTGTGATAAGGTTTGATGGACCTCTTTTGTCAACTACTTATAAGGCGCGATGAGTTGTGGACCAATGCGAGTGAATGGTTTTATCGTTTTCATTGTTTACAGGGTCAAGATTTAATTTGAATATCAAATCTCCTTCAAGTGGGCAATGGAATGTAACGATTGAATTGCAATAGTATAGACATGGGCGTTTACTAAGTTTGATCTTTAGTCGAGATAAACAAGGTTCTTAGAAGGCAACAATACCCTATTGTAATTAAAGTCCACTCCATCAATATGTCAAAAATATCAAAATATTACAACAGGTCATTGAACTTGGAATCCATCACAATTTTTGTAGGGAAAACTCTGTCAGACCGAAACCGAGAGAAAAAAGGTGGATTCATGTTGATATTCCATGAATTTCCACATCGATACCAGTCTAGAGAAGAAGATCAGTTGCTCAGACATTATTTCATCAAGTACGTGGTTTCAGATAAATAGACAGAGAGTGAAACCAGAGCGACAAAGATCGTGCCCGGCCATAATTATCACCCTTCGCTTACTTTTCTTAAAACCTTGAGATCAACCCCGTTGATACATATTTGTTCGCAGTGGCTTATGCAACTACTCTCGATTATACGCGCAAATTGCTGGAAGGAGATCTACAAGTACGATTTCTACCATTGGCCATTTGCTGTAAAGTTAATACTTGATCTCTTATGTCAGGTTCGTATGACCGTTTGTTATCAGGAAACTTTGAAGAAATTAGCCTTTTCCTTGGTAGTGCGAAGCAATTCATGCAATTTTCAGCCATTTAAAAATGAGTGGTTTCAAGACTCTTATTTAATGCGAAAAAGAGATGATCACGTAAACAAACAAAGCAGACAGACTATACCTTTTCTTTGTCACGTCTTTTCCAATTCCCAGATAGTCCTGATGCCACGGTATTACACTGGTTGTGTTCTCCGCATGCCAGTCGGTGCTTATGATCTGATAGAGTTCAAGAGAATTCGAGGGAGACCTGGCTGTCTCATCACCTTCAGAACCAGCCCCAAATTTCAGGAGGTAAAGGTACAACTTAGCAGAATGTACGATTGCTCGCCTTGTGATCTTCTTTACGTCGAAAGAGATTAAAAAGCGTTTCTTCGGCTGCCCTTTATCCTTACCTGCGAACATGTACTCACTATTTGGCTCATTGGTGTAAGCGTGTGCAATAGTGATGTGCTGAACGGTATCAAATGATAAAGGAAAATCGCTTGGATATCGCCCTAAAGACACATCAAATTTGTATCAGTAATTAATTTCGACTCAGCTAGCTTTGCTGTCAGTGATGGAAAGAAATTCTGAAGTATTGTAAAATCATTAGCCTGAGTTTAATTCTATGGCTGCTATGTCGGTCAAATGCCAAGAATATCGTATTGAACCCTTAGGATACCCAGCGTTATTCGTAGCAAAGGCACCGAATAGGTGAAATAAGTGATTTCCTTAAAAAAAAAACCCGCAAAATTCAGGGGCATGTTTTAGATAATCTAATTTTAGATATAATTTAATGCATGGCATTTTAGGGTGTCTTATTCCAGCACGGTATGCTTATTTATTTAATTGGCGTCCCTCCCCCATCCCCATTTCTAACTTACCTGTGTTGCACTGAGTGTCGGGTTTTGAAAGAGTAAGCGTCGTCGTTAAAGATCTCAATCCCTGGGAAACTGAAAAATAATCAAAAAAAGGACGACTATCGATTCAGAGACGTACTTAACATTAACGACGTTTGGAGTACTTTTCTGAAGTGAATATTTCACAACTGTTCTGTATCGATGCTGTTACATTTTGTTCTGTAATGATGTACACAATAGAAGCTATGCTTTAATACTTAAGCAGACGGCCATCATAGGATCATTGTAATAGAACAAATTCAGATATGTAAGGTCCTTGTGGCTTCGTGGTTGTACAGGGTTACACTATATGCTCATAATGAACTCACCAGGTTTCTCTATGCTGGAACACAAGAAGCGAAAGCGATAATCCATGCAAACATTCTTGTCTCCTGCTTGCTCTCTGTTTCGGCAATATACCCCAACGCGCTCTTTACAATGAATCACTTGACCTGATGATTGGGTTGGCGAGCCATCTGCAAGCTGACATTCAATATCCATCATGGAACTTGGACAAATGTCGTCAGCTATGGAAACAGCCCAGCTTCCAGTAGGTTTCCTTACAGTGTATACCCATTCAGACCATGTTCCAACTGAAAATCAAGGAATAATATTATTTCTCATTTTTTTCAATAAATCTTGAGACACACAACGTACTTGCTAAGTGAACTCTGAATTCAATCCAAAATAAAACATAGGGATAATAACTTAAAGGGTTTTCTTAGTAAGCTTTAATAGCAATTTACTAATTCATAGGTTAATCATTATAGGTTGATTACCATAAGATGTTTAGCAATGACTTGACACTTATTGAACATAAATTATAATGGGGGAGGGGGAAAATTATTCATCACAGCAAAGGTGCAGTAACAAATATTAGTGAGCCACTGTTATTAAAAGCAAGCAACTTACGTGGTTCAGGAACTGAGGGCTGATTTTCTCTCCATTTCGTTAGGTCCATACTAGGGATCTGAGTACACTCAACTCGTTTTAATTCGTCCTTGGCGGCAATGAACGAATCTTTTTGAACGGAAACAATACCATAAATGTTATCACACAGTACTCTTGACAGTGAAGTCTTTCCTATCTCATCAAGCTGCTCAACTGTGAAAACACCGTTTTCATACCAAAACCGATCCCCATCACGCAAACGTCGAAATTGCTCTTTCAGAATACAGTGCAAAGTAGGACCAACCATGGCCTCAGGTAGCGGATCCTCTGCCAACCCTGCCACCCACAGGTCAGCGTACTCTACATCTTCATATAAATCATGTAATATCTGTCGTGACGTAGCGTTCTTAATCTCGTAAGTAGTCTCCTGAAAGATATCTGCGTGTGAGAGATTGCACTCGCGTCTCCATGCCCCGTAACCTGGAAGACCGTGGTCGCGGCCTCTTTGGATATTCAGCGCTGCTAAGTCAAACCCATGTTCTGATTCCGGTTGTTGGAAAAGGTGTTTCGTCAGTCCCGCGGCTATTTCACGGCTTGTGCTTTGCGATTCATTGGCAAGAAGTCCTAAAAGCACTGGCTCGATACCCTCTCTTTGAATCAATTTGTTGTTAAAAAACGCTTTTATGAGTGGCACATCGGGAGCAACCGGATCATAGTTTGCATCGAGCATAGCAAATTTGGGTCTCACCATACTATGACCGAATCGAAATGCTGAAGTGGCAAACACGTTTAGGATTCCAGGATGTACGTTAGTGTATCCATGATATGGAGGCAAAAAGTCAGCTCCGAGTATTTTGGGTAAATAATGGCTATATGTGATATGTTGAAGAATGGCTCCAATAATTTTTCTTGCCTCATGGAAAATTCTCTCTGCGTTCCAGTGTTTGTTGATTTCAAAGAGAATGTCGGCTATCCTGTTGTGCTCTCTAACCCATAAGGTGTGCATTGCGACGAGGGCGATCTGCTCATTGACTCTAAAGTCACCTGCGTCATAACAGCCACCGAACAACTGACAAAGATTCAAGGGAGGGTTGAAAGGCGATTTTACAAATGGTAGCAGGTACCTCGGTCGCGTTATTTTCAAATGGCCTTTTTTAGCTGCAAAATAGCACATGACACGATATTTAAATCCGTTTGCTTAGAACTTTTCAATGCTACAACTTCTCAATAAATATCTTATTTGATTTGTTTAGTGCATCATACATAACTTGGCGATCAAACCCCTTTTCTACATTGATGCACGCTTTTTTTTTTACCCTGTCGGTTTTCTCGGTTTTCCGTCTGGGCACACCTATTACCAATAATAGTATTTCCTGTCCCTGGGATTTTAATGGAATGGACCACGAGCGCGACATACCAGCATACGCCTACATATTCACATTTGAAATGAAAATGCTTTTTAAAGTACAGGATCACAGGATGACATGATGATTAAATTAAATCTCCCCTTTAGCTGCTCCTTGTAAATTAACTACGAGAATTTGGTGTTAGATTAAGATAACAACTTCTATCTGATAGGTTTGACAATTCCTATTCACCTTTTTCCTGGCTAATGTATGGATATTATATGGAGAAGTTATACATGCTAACCACTTGTGAGTGTTAAAGGGCTGATGGAAACCAAACTTCTTGTATACCGTCAACGCTTCTATCAGATGGAAGGCTCATTGGGGCAGGAGTCCTACCCGAGAGGGGGAGGAGGAGGGGGCACTCACTAAATATTCTAACAGAGAGGCCAAAATGGGGTCATTACTTTTCTGCTGACTGTCTCCCGGCTCTGCTACACAATGTGTGCAATATACAGTTAAGATGAGTTTGATTTGAGCACCGCTACCCACAATTCACAATGGGTTCCAACTGTATTGTTACGAAAACTAACCACATGCAAAACATACTTACAGTCAAAATCCCTAAGATTCTCTGCTAACTCAATGCTGGAACCATATATCTGCGATCCATCGATAAATGAAGTGATAGTATTGAGCTGCTCACGGGGCGTTACGTTTTCGTTATCAGTTTGGCAAGCAGCCGCTGATCTTGTGAACATGGTACATCCGGAGCCATCTGCGTACATGATGGGAAAGCACGGTGGCTCGTAATCCCCTGGTGATCGATCACAGCTAAAAGGAAATTATCTTTTAGCAACGCTGTATCAGATGTACATATGATTGTGTCTGTCACTTCCTTTTGTCTCAGCTTTTATTGAACGAAATGGAAAGTGGAAAAGACACTTACAAGGCAACTTAAGGAATCTTTACGTCGAATGTAGCCTATTGTGATAAACCCAAATTCAAATTGAAAGCGCTTGGATTAGTTTCAACCAAGGTTAAAGACATAGTTGTCCTGATGATGAAACTAGATTTCTACTATGGTGAAGTACAATAATGGTTTAATATACCCTACATGATTGACAAAGCCCAGGAGATGCTGCCAGCATCGATGGGCTAAACTTAAAAAAATGATCCCGTGGTACACTCACTTTGGTAAGAAGCATTTTTCTGCACCTTCGCTTTCTGCTGTAAAGGAGAGATCATGGTCCAAAAACTGTCCCCATTGCATCATCATGTGCGAATATCGGTTTTTGTTTCCACTAGCCTCGGTTACGTGAATGATGAATTCTTTACTCACACGGTGTGGCGAAGGAAGCTCAGGTGCATACGGCTGATCTGGAAATCCTGCGGGATCTGATAAGCCATTTACATCATAATAAATTGGGTCTAACATCCGAGTGTATGGTGTGGTTGCTGCGCCCCAAAGAGGGTTATCAAGGTTGTTGCAGGTACCATCAAAGGTTCGGTAGCGTGAATGGTACTCAGTGTCGGAGCAATCGGCTGTAGGCATGGAGCAGTTTAGTTCTTCGATGATGTCGGACAATCTGTTGGCTGAGGCAACGGTGCTTGGGCCTAGTCTCACCGATACCACACCTGATCGTGCACGTTCATCTACTGGGAAAGACAAGTCAAAACGGACGGACGGACGAAAAATGTAAGATAATTTGCAAAGAATTGTTGGCTATTTCTTCAGTTCAACAATTCGAAATTTGTTTAATGAAAAATCTAATCATTTGCAAAAGAGAGTAATGTTCAGATTATAGAACGGAAAATAGCATATGAGTTTGGATGTTTCGTCAACTAGAAAACCAACAAGATTTTCGAGATTGTTGACATTTCCTTACAAACATTTTATACAGAAACAATTCAGAATGCTCAATTTATTCCAAAAAAGACGTTAAGGATGACCGAGCTTTACTAATAGGGGTTTGATATCCACCGGCAAATCACTTTTTCGAACTAAGAGAAAGACCTATAGTCTTATCACACTCAAGAAGAGCATTCAAGGATGTAATTAGCATCCACGTTCAGCCACGTATTATCCGTTACACACTAAGGACACATCAGTCTTTGAGGGAGTTTTCGGCATCTCGTCTCGATTCGTCTCTCAAAAAGGTGTTTGGACCAATTTTCGTTTCCCTTTAGGTTATTCTCTTAATCATGATAACAAACAATGAAGAGCAGTCCAAACATTTACGTTACGTTGTGATTTCTACAGTAATTTAGTGTTTCATCAATTAATCAGCGTTTTTTCCTTATTTCCGGTCTTTTGATACCAACTCCTGATAACTCGACTGAACCTTTATTGATTTCCCTTGAAAGCGGTTTGAATTATTGGGATTTGACTGTATAATAAAAGTAAAAAGAAACTCACCAATCAGGTCATCTGCCACTTCACGCTTAATTTCCCTGATTATTTTGTTGAACTTTAAGTCTGCGTTGGAAATTCTTTGAGCTTCAAGGGATGGTCGCCGAAACAGACGATGTAGAGAGAATTCTGTTCGACCTCTCGAAGATTTCTTTTTGTTGTAAAAGGAGGCGTTCTTGTGAGATCGCAAACGGTCAGAGCTCAGCACGATAAAAGACCTATTATTAACAGCCTCCATAGAAGACTTGACATAGTTATTACCAGCATACTCTGGAACTATAACAATTGACACCTGCGTAGACGCAAATACGTTTGGATTCTCTTGAGCCCTGGCAATGACCTGAAGCACAAAGTTGGCTGGTTTCTCACCAGATATGAGGTCTGTCAGATCCCTGTCGATCTTGAGGGAACCTTTGATGGGGTTAAGACTGAAGAAAGGGCTACGATTGAACGGATCGACAGACTGAACTCTGTACCGTATGGAAGAATTTGTTAGGCCCTCGCTTTTCTCAGCTCTTAGGTGCAATATAGTCTGTCCAACGATCATGGTGTAAGGAATAATGACTGAATATATTGGACTGGGGAATTTCAACCCCTCGTCAGCGCTAAGGCGGGGTTTCTTTAGGGGAGAAGTTGCTCTGACTATGACCATGGCATAACTGGACGATACGTTTCTATAACGTGCCTTAACTCTGAGGCGATAAACGGCGTTTATCTTGAGTTTACGGCGAATGGAAATAGTACCTGTGGGATTAAAGTAAAAGGAATCTAGAAACAAAAAGTTCCGATGGCAAAACAAAAGGTAAAACTAAATGACTAGAATTGGAGCTTAGGCCCTCGACCCTTCATAACGTTTGTGCGATTATCATGGTATGCAAATGTCATCGGCTGAGCAAGGAAGTCAAATAGGATTTCAACATTACCGATCTCTGGATCCATGTCAAACCGTGTGCGGGTTTTGGCTCTGACGCGTTTGCCGTTCACAGAGATGATGTAGTAACGAAGCGATCGTTTGGAGTTTCCAGTGTTGGCATGCACTGTAATAATGGATGTACCGGGTGGGGCTGTTGCTTCTACTGATGCGTTGTAACGCCTCTTTGAGAAGGAAATCACAATGTCCTCTGAAAAAAGAGAAATAAATCTGCAAACGTCCAAAACTGGGCTTATGTGTACCGCAAGGGAAACATGATCAAGCCGACCAGTTTAAATTTATCAATCGACTATTAAAGTTCTTCCTACAAACACATTTAGGAATCTTTTCTGCCATTTTCTGGCCACTCGTTTAGAAAATTGCAACCAAACTAAATAACACTTTTGTCCGAAGAACGTCTGCATTTGAAAGCATACATGCTCTTAAATTAGATACCAGCATAAAGAAAGTTTATTTCTTAGAGATAAACAGGAAAATTTTGAGGTAGAAATGCTGCCTCTCCAGTATATTCTTAGCTCTTTCATTTCTACTCTCTTCTTGCTCATCGTAATCGTGGGTAGCTTTTCTGTTGCCCTGCTTTTGGCGCAAAAGTTCCGAAGAGAACGTTCATGAGACGGACAACTCTTTACCACAAGAGAGCGCATTCATCAATAACCTTTCAAATCGGCACCCTAGGCTCCTTGAAATTAAAAATTGTTCTCGTATAGCTAATCTTTCTATTCGTGAACATCCGTCCGTCCACTCAGACACATACGAACATGAGCTCAACCCAAAACCCTGCAGTTTGTCCCAACGAACGGCGTATTCTCGAAACGTTTCCAAATCTAGGGCAGCGGTCATCTTTCTTTTTTAGGTGTTTGCTTACCCTCTGACTGTCTGCCTGTGACATTTCGAGTAATTTTATCCGATATTCATTTGATCGTGACCTTATTTATTTTCGAGCTTCTTCTATTGAAAAGCGCTGTATGCTCAGGTGTAGTCATCCACAACGTACACAAGTGTGACTTGAGTGTAAGCTGCCTAATATAATGCACCGCTCACCAACGCATCTTTTTCTATCTGGTGAAAGATGGTATCCCAATCTGCAGGTACATCTGAAGCTTCCTGGGGTGTTCAAACAGTCATGATGACAGCCTCCTTTCGCAAATTCCGAGCACTCGTCTATGTCTAATGGAAAGAAACAATTACCACATTGATCAGTTTGACTCAGATATCAAATAGTATCAAGATCTATCAGAAATTTATGCACATACTTGAACTTTTATTTCTGGTCAGGTATTTTGCCTACTCTTTTACGGAGCTCCTCCAAGCGGATGCCGCTTTGGAAATATTACTTAATACACTTGTCTTTTCGAAAAAGTGAAAAGTGAGTCAATTCGACTTACACTGCACTTAGAACTTCTAATTCTCCTCAGTCCGGAACTAAAGAATCAATTTACCGCTGAGTGTTTGCGTCGCCGAAGTAAGTGCCGCAGAAGTCAAGTCACCTCAATACACTACGAGAAAGTTCCACTAGATAGACATTGCAATAGGTCATGTGTCTGTTTGGTGGTACCTCGACTACATCTCGCTATGATACAAATAACCGAGGTTTGTACTTTCAAGCCAAATAGTACTTTATTAGTCATTTTCGAAATTCGACTCCTTCACCCCAGTTGTGATAGAGCTAAACTGGCTCTAGCTTGAGTCTTTCAGAGTTTTAATGCATCGCAACTCGTGAATAAATATCGTTCGTGCGCACTTTCCATGAAATAATCTCTATACCTTGAAAAGTATTATTGTATGTAACACTTTCCATAGGGATTGCAACGAGACTCGTATGTAAACCTACTTCACTAGTACTCAATGAAATACAATTTAGAGCAAAATGGAGGGAGCTTCATTTACGGCCATTGCATCTCCGCTTGTAAGGAAAGGAATTTTTAGGTCTGAAAGGTAAACATTTCTTTTAAAAGCTCGAATCAACTTTGGTAGGTTTTTTTTTTGCTATTTTAAATGAGCATACATATTTTCATTTTTTATCAGCATTTTTATTTTAAATGTGCAAATAATTTACAAATTTAAATACCAAACAATTTTTTTCGTTTTCGGCTCCAATCATTATTTTTTAGTTTGCAAGTGCTGGACAGGGTGTTCGTTTTTCAACTCTGTGAGTGTAACTCTCTTAAATTATGGCGATATGGGGACCAGGGCAGTTCTCGTCTCATTAAGGAGCAAACTCAAGATTCAACATAATAAGGCTGTATGATTCAAGCGATGCCCTCGCAACGATCCAATAGAAGCTCTCACACCCCGCTTGTTTTCCCAACCTCCTCATGCACACAATCGGCTCTTCTTTTCAACATGCAAGCTTTCTTAATCGTGAAAGCTACATCCAATCAAAATATCCGTCAGGCTTCTGCTTTTACAAGATGGGTTATTGGATTGATTTCTGGTTTGATTCTAGTGATTCTACGTTTCCAGAAAGATTTTAAAACGGCAGCCGGCTGTTATTTGGAACCCTGAACAAATGTTCTTCGGTCACTCTGTCCACATTATCTGTTCACAGATAATTCGTTTGATTTTTGGTTTGATTCTAGTGAGACCTTCGCTAAATCATTTGATTCTTTTGCTATTTTGAGTTCGCGGAATGACCCGTTTCGAAATATACGCTCATTACACGAGCCATCTTTTAGAGTGGGTCTACCGCGAACGGTGTGTGGGTCTGTATGCTTGAGCGTAGAAAAGATGACACCATTCGCTAAGATATTCGACAAATCCGCCATGTTCAACATGGCTGAAAGAAAGTTGCGCCTCTATTACGTGTCTGCGGTATTCCCCATTGCACGTGACTGAGCTTTGTGGAGAAACCCGAGGGTAAACCTATAGTCGGTCGCCCGACTAATCATATGCTTACAGCTGTACTGCACTTAAAGCCGTCTAAAAACACGTGGTTTTCTACGACGATAAGCTTCCACGTAACGTTTGCTTTTTCGAATCGAATTGATCCCGAATATCCCCTTACTTGCTCAAGAAGTTTTGCTCACTAAATAAGGAGTTCCGATTTAACACGACATATCTTACGACATTTTATCATATAAACTACGGTGTTATACAAGGATTTCCAGCCCCTAGAAAAACCGTAACAACACACGTAAAAAATACGATATTTTTTCACGTGTGTTGATATCGCCAATCAGGCAATCAGACACGTCACTCGCCTTTTGCGCCACTCGGTCAGGTTGATGAATGAACAGCAAAGCCTTCCCCATTCTCAGTCCAAGGTAGTTTATCGGAATTTTCTCGGATTATGGCTGCTGGAACACTAAAAAATCCGTATCGCTTACAGATCGAGACGTTCAAACTTTCCTAGAAGGGGAGGAAAACCAATATACGAAAAGGAAAAGTGAAAGTTATGTATTCAGCGGCTTTGGTAATAGCATTTCTCGCGGCTAAGAACGAAAATCGACAACTGGAAGATTTGCCACGGGCCGATTTGGCCGTTTACCTGAAAGATTATTCTGTCGGTAAAGACAAAGTCAATGAACGAGAGAATTTTGTAAATTGAAAATTACACAATCATTGTTTTTGTAATCATGAATCCACGCATATTTCAATCTTGAGCCTCAGCGTTAACGTACTGTACGATTTATTCGGAAATTGTCGGTTCCTTTATTTTCATTCACTAATAAAGTCGGCTTTTTCATTTCGCCCCCGTCCCTGTTCTACCTCCCCCCCTCCCTTTTTTTCTCAAAAGCCCCAGTCCACAACTTTTCGTTTCTTTTAGGAGCCACCCTTTCTAATAAGCCCAATTTCACCCTCCCTCCAATCCTCCCCCCCCTTAATCAAAACATAAGAACAATGGTCTTCTTGTTCTTTCTTTGTGGGGATAAGTTGCTTAACAGTGCAAAATACAGGTTTCAATGTGAGCAAAGAAATGCATTTTGTTCAAGGTATCCATTAAATCTAGACGGTGATTCAAAAAAATACCTTACCAGCATACACCATATACCACTGTATAATGTGCTGCTGTACATAAATTCTCCTCTTTCAAAATCCTATCGTATGGAGGCTCTATAGACTAATAAGCCCCTCCTCACACCCTTCCCCTCCTTACTCCCTTCCTTGTCTTTTTTTAGCACCGCTGTTATTCTCTAAGAGCTTATTGCCGCGCAAAAACGAACAAAAGCGGAAAAAAGAATTCGACAAAGGTCGACTAATTAGCTTACCTTCTGCTCCAAACCAAGCTTTGAAACCTCTTCGGCCACCATATCTTGACTTAAAGCGTACCCACATTTCATTTCCAGGGGATGTGACGTTGCTTGGTTTCTGGTCTCCACAAAACACCACGGAGTCCTTACTAGTCCTAACAACGTTGAAGTAGGTAAATCTCTGGCGTCGAGTGCTGACCATTACATACTCTTCCCGGCATGCTTTTGTCCTGGTTACATCAAAATGTGGATCAAAATAAAGATGGATCCTGTAGCCCTTCTTTACAATAATACGCCATATGCAGGTTTGAAGAGGATTGTAGCTCTTCGGGTAACCAGGGGACTTAATAACACCAGAATTCCCTGTGATTTGATAAATCCGACGTTGACATTTTCCTAAAGATAGAACAAGTATTTAGTGAGAATGGCGCACAACTACAAGAATAACACTAGAGAATACTTGGTTCAAAACTAAAAAGAACATATTTAAGGTAAATCTCTGACATATTAAAAGATGGAATTCCAGACTGAAGTTGCCTAGTTGTGCTTTCTCTAAGCCTAACACTGTATCCGTTTGTGGTTTGTCATTCGTTTGTTTCGTCGTTCCATTGTTCGGTACTCGAATTTGATTGGAACTCAGTTAAATTGTCTCTTTGAATTCGACTAGGTTTGACAGTCGGAAATAATTGAACGTACCAAAACACCTAACCAATTAAATGCAATCGAACCTACGGTAATCGAACCCTCTGTCGTTATAACGCAACCCCTGAACTCCTAAAGGTCGATTGGGCTCCAATATTGTATTAACAGAGACTAAGCCAGCGTTTAAAATCGGTTTCACCAAGTTACCAAGTTTTTCTTGGTCTTGAAACATAACAAAACGCGTATTAATCCTTCTTATTCTTCGAGTTCTTTTACGCAACATCATCTGAGTGAACTTATCAAGTACGAAGCGACTAGGTAAGATTGATTCGACTGAATTCGATAATCGAACTCCGCCAACAAAAACTTGGATTTCCACTGTCTTCGATCGTCTGACCAATAGCTCAGCAATCAAAAGGTTGTTTTTCAAATCAGTCCGTTGGTTTCAGTTTAATTAGTTACGGCAAGATCTGTCTATCGAAGAAATCGACTTAGTTTTGAACAAGGCACCACGCAAATGCTTGATAGTTAGATGTGGCCAACTCGCCCGCGTCTGGTGAGAGGAATTATTAGTCCTTCTATAACATATTTTGACGCATTTTCTCTTGTTTGCTAAGCTGTGCAAGACTATCAGAGAGTGTGAATGAGCAGAAGGGCGAGCGCTCGTTAAACGGCGAGCGCCCTTTGCCTCTAGCGTGTGCCTTCGCACGTCCCTATGACTGAGAGCCTCCTGGAAGGCTACATGTTCGTTCTTTCTTGTGTACTTCTCTCATCTGTTCTTTTGATCCCCGATTACATGAACCAAGCTGTCTTTCCAGATCAGGTCTAGCTAAAAACTTGTTCGCTCACCATCCCTCCCCACCAACCTTCCACAAAAAGGACGAATGTTTGGCCAAACTCCTACTTTATATGCATAGTGCGTGGTCCAGAGTAAACATTGAGTTTCGATTAAAACTTCTGAAGAATGAAATATCCTGTCAACTGAGTGTAATTACTCTTCTCGTGCAGCACATTGGCTGAAGAAATCAGTAAATGGAACTCGCACCATTTGAACAATGGATATCTAATACGTTATACCGAAAAAACAATATTATTATCATAATTTCTTCGCGAAAAGTCATTTGATACCTAATTTTGTCATTTGCGGAGCATGACATGCTCTCTGATGTTTTGAAAGAGAGGGGTCACCCGTTGACTTAAATGTTTTCTTAGTGAGATAATTTCTCTGATTCCTTCGAATCATGCTCACTACAAAGCTGATCTTTCCCTGACGCTGAATCCTGTAAAAAAAACCTCTTGATTGCTCAACATCGCTGCATTTTTATAGTGTGATCATAAAAGCATTTATATATTCCGGCACGAAAACCTAAGCAGAGAGAATCTTTAGGGAAGGTGCTTACTTGACGAGCCACCACGAACGAAAGTAATGAAATATCAAACTTACCTGGGGGATCTTCTGTAACTACTGCACTAAACAAGTATGTTCTGTGATGGGAAGCAAAAGACACTGATTTAGTAATCGCTTTCATGTACTGACGCGCACCAAGGAAAGAAGCTAATTCTTACGTGTATCTTTCGAAGGCTAGATTGTGGGCAGACTTACCTTTCAATCAGTGAATACGATTACTCTAATACCCTGGAGGTTACGTTACTAAAAAGAAATGGTACTTACAATACAATGACAACCTCAAGAAACCTCTTCATTCTGTGTTTGGTCTGTTATTAGTTGACGTAATCACAAGTTTGCCACGAATTCTGTGGACTATTCTACCACAAGCCCCACGGGAGATGAGCATACAATGTTATGTCCTTTGTGAATGGTTGTTGGCTTACAAAGGGGAAGTGCGTAAAACCGCAAGCAGACAAAGTGTAATGTTTACACGAAACTTATTATGATTCGAGCGGAAGTGAGATCACTCGAAGCGATCAATGAGATTAAAAACGACTAGTGGGACTCCCCACGGTTTAACACTGAATTCGCTATTCTAAAATTTTAAATGATTCCTGTATGGAAAGAAATACAATGAGTCGTAGTCTTTTGTTTCAGAGTAGTTAACTCACTTGTGCTCATTTACTTGACCTCTTTTTTGAGAAAGATGCGTTGACAATTTTGCATGCAATGTCTTCGGGCTACTTTTTAGGGGTCCGATGTCAACAAATATCCTTAATTCCATCCCATCTATATCCTTAAACATTGATTGACACAAAATTGTGTCTCAACAATTCTTAGCCTATAAAATACAAAAAGTCGCTTATCCTGTTGCAAAGAACAGAGAACTTGTGCAGCTTTGAGATTTGTCTGGCTGTCAAGAATTTTTGCTACATGATAAATCTGACAGGCGAAACAGCAAACAAAGAAAGCAAAGAACAAAATAAAAAGCACAAAAATAAAATAAAAAGACCAAATAAAAACTAACCGAAAAGAGAGCAAACAACAATAATAATGATGCAAAAAAGATCTCGAAAAGCATTGAAATTTCACGGCAGTAACACGCACTCTCCATAGACTCATGTCGTCGATCTCTTGTTCGTTAGAAGTATCTAAACAACCTCATACAGATAGAACCTGTTTTCGTTCGGTTGTAGAGCAGCTGGATACGTTGTTTCTTAGGAAACATCAAAAACACCCAGACAAGAGAATGAATGGTGATGGGAAGTTCCTTCAGCAGTTTATCGCTCGGAGGCTGGGCAGTATTCAACAGATTAAATTCTCTTATTGGAGACAATGGAGGCGGCACAACCTTCTGGATTAATCTGATGTTCACATCATGCGTCTCCTTGAATTGTCCCCATACGCTCATAATGATAATAACGACAGAACGGTGTATCCTTCGATTTATCTTACAATAATGTTGTTTATGTATGATTTCAAATTCTGGCAAATGAAAATGGATTTTAGAACGAGGTCTTCAACAAAAATTGAGCTTTGGGAGCCTTTTGATGTAAGTATATGGGATATGTTAAAGAGCCATCGATTACGCTAAAAAAAATATCTGTTAAAGTAGAGCAAAATACGATTTGGTGACAATAGTCTGAAATGTTTTATCAGTTTTATTGGGAAAGCGTTACTTGTCTACTCGAAACACTTTCGGAGGGGAAGTTCATTTAACATCCACTTCCTTTCATAAAATATAAAAATATATGATGAATATTTGCAACAAAGTACTTGAGCTGCAACGTGTAGGCGGCTCAGTTGGCCGATCAGTTTACATATCCTGATCACTTCAGTAATGCCGGATCCTCTACCTTGCGCTTACAGTCACTCCTGTCAACAAGAAGACAGGTGTCAATCACTTTTAACAATACATAAAGGCTTAGTAGCGATGGGCGCGTGCCAAAGAGTGAATTGTTGAACTGTAGCATCACGCGTCTACCTTCTTTACGCAACCCAAGTGAGGAATTTTCGTAAATAACCATGGTACTTTTTAGGTAGGTCATTTCTTTCGTCAACGAGTCTACGGAAAAACAGATATCCTTCATGTATCATTGTTTTTGTCTGAGAATGAATTAAGATATTTGGTCACGTCGAATGTAACTAGCTATCCCTAATGTTTATCGCAGATCAAAGGATTGCCTGCTCTTGCCGCTTCTTCTAGTCATTGGCATTCGTTTCTCAGGTACTGTTGCTAGTGTTGAGAATCCAATATTTTAACTAATGGTAACTGGTCACTCATAAAAAAACATTTTGTTTAAGTTTTAAAGGAAGTTCAACATCTTCCTTATTCTCAAGCGAGGTCATGAAATCAACATATTTTGGTGTACCATGTTTCGCTTGGGTTAAGTCCTATTTTCAACAAATAACAATTACTTATTACGTTTGAATTTTGCAAGTCGATTTAAATTGTTACTTTTATTTCTTTTCTTACACATTTTTCGAAATTTGAGACTCCAAGGCATGGCTTGGAGTTTGGACGCTAACGAATCTGACATGAACTAGGCTTTGCGCACGTACCAGGTACTTGATGTCTATCCCTATAAATGTCCGATGACCAACATTTTTTGAATGATACCAATCAAATCACCTTTGAAATATCCATCACTGTTACACATTTGTTTACAAAGAAATCGATCCATGATTTTATCAAAACAGATCCGTCACTATCGATTCGACAGGAGACATTGATGCCGCGCAAATAATAAAAAAACCTTTTAGAGGCAATCATTTTAGATTTAGGTGTGCTTAAATAGTGTTCGAGATATCGAGGTAGTTTTTCCTGGCAAGAATATAATTTGCTGAAATGAAAGCGTGTGTAGATAGATGCACTGCATTGTATTATCTCATCTCAGTTGGTTAAGCGCTGGCTCCCTGCTTCCTCTCAGCTTGGCGCCAAAATAATGACCGCAGCTTAGAACCTGAAGCGTTTATACCTCGCTGCCAATGCACAGCCCCTTAACGTTGAAGTTTTTAAGTCTTCAGCAATCTTCTAACGTGTAATCTTTCTTGATAATTTTATGACTAAAAAGGGCGGTGATAATTAAGATGACTTAACCATTGACCGGAAGTCCTATCAGTATTCACTTTTGAGAGCGCTGTTATCAAATGTGGCGCTCGTCTGTACTTTGTTAGAAATACTAAGCTTGTTGCGGTGATATGTTTTCGTACAACTTAACATGCTCGAAAGGGAAAACTAAAACCCTTCCTTTCAAATACGTTTTTTTCGGTATGTGGGTACATATCGTAATAAACTTTGTACAGATCAAGAATTGAAACACAACAAAACTTAATGTTAAAATATCCTGCACGATGGGAACTTTTCCTGTGCTTATTTTGTTTACATTGAAAGTATTATTACGGCTTAGAATAGATGGCCTTTTGGACCAAAAAAAAAAGTTGAGGAGGTCAGATTTCGAATGGCCTGTTTGCAGAAAAAACAATTCATGCGTTTATCCATCGATTTTTTCTGTATGATTCTATTTGTTCATCGTTCAAATTTAACTGACGATATAAAATAAACTTAAAAAAAGATTAATTAACATCTGTTGCTCGCCACTGAATCAAATAACACATATTTTTCATGCCTTGCCAATAAAAATGCACTTTTTTTCATGGGCATTTTATTATGGCAATTATCATGCGTTGTTATTTTTAGCTCAACCCAGTGTGATACAAAGAAAATTAAGCCTTGTAATTTAGAGTGACGAGTAGACTGATAATTAACTTTTCTTTAGCGCGTTTAGAACCCAGCAACGTCGTCAATCATCCGTATAATCCCGACTTGGAACATTTCAACGGTTGCAACGTAATTGGCTTATCTCGCGTCCTCTTTTGATGAACCGAAGGAATCAGGCGATTCTACAAGTAAACTAATACTGTATTTCCTTTATTAAAGTTTCGGTTGTTTAGTTTGGTACTCAAGCTTTCAACTGCTACGGCTTACGAAAGTTAAGCTCTCAATCAGAGCCGTTGCTTTCCTGCTTACTGGCTTTGAACGGATCAAAATTAGCCTTCCGTAAATCGTGCCCCAACAAGACATTGTATACTTGAAGTGTTTGTGTGTGTATGAGTTTTTTTAATGGCAAGAAGATCTCTGAGGTGCTAAATTGCGCAGCTCCTTTGTGTTAAAAACTTGAAGACACATGCGGGAATCTATATTTTCCTGGCGTTCTCTCGATAATTTGTCAATCAATTCAGGTGAATGATAGAAATCGAACTGGAATTTTCATTTATTGGGCTCACGTCACGACAAGGTTCAAATTCATGTCACCACCAAATTTTTATGCTTGGTCAATTTATCACATTGAGTCAAATTTCACCCATGGAGAGATTTCGATGGCGTTTTTGAGATGTTCCTTTTCCATTGCAATTTGATCAAAAATTTGAAATAAGCAGTTGTCGATATTGACATTTTCCTGGACATTGCGCATGGACATTTCTCTGTTTGCAATTCTTTTTGGGCGATCCTGTCCCATCTTTACGTTGAATTAGTAAATGGTACTCTTATGTAAACTTGTGGAACCTATCTGTAAACTTCAGTTATTTCTCAGAGGTATTTTCTTTACGCTTCACCTATGACTTCCGGATTGCCTCTTCGCAAAATCACGATCATTATCAGCAGGTGACGCGAAAGTCACTAAGCTGTCTGATGAGTGTATGTAGCAACAATGTCACAAATAAAGGAAGACTTCATATAAATAATAGGGAGGAGATATAGTTCTAAAAGGTAGAAAAGCTCCGAAGGATCATGCTCACAAAACGATATATTTATGTCAGAGTTTATATTAGGTCTAAAAGAATGTTATCGACTAACGAAAGATCAAAACTCTTGATTGACTTTGAAGAAAGAGTTAAACGACTTATCTAAGAGCTTGAAGACTAAGCTTGAAAGCTGAAATAGCTCAAGCTTAATCTCACGACCACTAGTGCTCGGGGGAAAGGTTTGAATGTACTAGGGCTGGCTCATGTTTCTTTCAAGACATGAAAGTTTTGTAGACAAAGTTGCACCTGAGGATCACGTACAAAGGTTGGTCTGGAATACCTCTGATTTGATTTGAAAATTTACTAACTCGGAGTTTGGGCTCAGTATTGGATATTTTAGTTTGATCCTTGATTTTCAAGTACACACAGAAAACATTGAGTGGTATTGTAGTCGTCATGTGATGTGGAACCTAAACCTGCGAATATTGAAGATTACTTCGTTTTGAAAAAATTGATCTTGTGTTTTGCTCTGAAACAGAAAGTTTAAATTTACAACGTTTACAGCGAAACACTTTTCCTTCACTTTCACCATTTTCGACTTGATTTTTATGTTCTATATACTGATTTTCAAGGAAAGCCTTAAACAAATGTCATCTTAAACGTGAAAATTTGGTTTTTCAACCGAGTTGATAATGTAATCTGGCCACTGTAAAGAGTTTTAAAGCTGACGTTTGGAGCGTCACACGTCAAGAATTCTATACCTTTTTACTTGTTTCTGTCGTTTAAGAGGCCAACACCGCGCCCAACAAATTGATCGACAATCAGCACTACAAACGGCACAGAACGAAATACCCATCCATTCCATTCACTCTCACATTTCACCCTCACAACCACGCAGTTAAATCTATCCTTCTTTAAAACTTACTTCAAAACGATTTAGAGACTGGTACTATGTTTTCGAAACCTCCACTAATTACATTCAAACGTGACAAAAACATCAGTAACTTTTTGGTCAGAAGTTAATTTTCAAACTAAGACCAACCGGGAACTTTCAAATGTGCTCGCTCACGGTGGAAAACTTGTCCTTTCATTCATCACGTGGAGAAATGTCGGGACCCAGGAGATCTGTGAAGATCACTGATCATTTCACGTGCACCTCCGCCAGTGTCATCTATTGCATGACTTGCACTTCTTGCAAAAATTTATACAGTGGTGAAAGAGGAAGACGACTGGGTGACCGATTCCAAGAACACCTTCACGACGTAGAAAGAAATGACAGGGACGTATTCAAACTAGTCGCTAGACGCTTTAATCTCCCTAATCATTCTAAACAGTATATGGCAGTTTACGGCCTTTTCCTGAATCTACGCAGTTCGGAAAGCCGCAAAACTCTAGAACAAAAATTTATTTTTCTTAATCGGCACTCTTAATCCCCAGGGTATCAACGAGCGCTTTTCATTTAACTAACCTATTCTTGTTTCCTCGTCACCATATTCCTGCCAATAGCGTAGCATAAAAACATACACACAACCCACAATTCCTCCATTCGCTCTGACAAAGGACTAACGCTCGAAACGCCAGCTTTGAAACTCTTTACGGTGGCCAATTTACATGATCAACTCACTTGATAAAACCAAATTATCTTATCATACTTTCAACCGACGTAGCTATCACATTTTCTGAAGAAACTTACCCTCTTTAATCTTAAAGGTGTTGGCTGTCCTTAGTCAAAAAGCAAGGCATTTCCTTTTTCTCTCAACTCATCAATATATTAATTAACTTCAGATTCGTCTTGCGGTGGAGCTCTTAATGGCCGTCATGGAATTATTCAGTCGCCAAACTTTCCTGACACGTATCCAAATAACTTGCACTGTGTGTGGAACATAACTGTGGCTACAGGCTATCGGGTGAAAATTCGGTTCACAGCTTTTGATGTAGAATATTTCAAATATTGTGAATACGATTGGATTTCCATGCGTTCCGGAAATAGTACTCATGGAAAATTTTGTGGCTCTAAAAAGGGAGTTCATCGCATTCCCCACGATCAATTAATATCACCAACAAACGAGGTCACTCTCATCTTTCACTCGGATTACTCCAATGAGGAAGTCTACAAAGGTTTCAGAGCACATTACTCCGCTGTTGGTAAGTACATATTTCTTTCTTACCACATTTTTTTTATTACTTGGTTCACATTAACCGAGCAGGAGGTCTGTAGCGGAGAATTTTGACTGAGATCGCAAGATACTCCCCTACTGAAAACCCTAATAGGTTAATAAGATGTTCATTGACCAAAAAAGAAATCCAAAGGACATAATATAAATAATCAAATAATTCTGGTTCAAGCCATTAGCTGCCCTATTTCCGTCACTACTCTTCAGTTCAAAAAGGACAAAAATTAAATGTTTAAAGTCCAGCTTCCAAACTTCCTTAATTACTGAAAACAAAATAGCTGTTCTTTCCATAATAGGCTCAAAAAAGAATCTCTAAAAATTGACCAAAAGTACAACAAATTTAAATGCCTGTCTGTTCCTCGACGGCAAGATCTGTTCTTATTCATCCCTTTAATGTTAGACCCACCGCCACAGAGAACATTGATGTTGTATGCAAAATCTCCAAGCATGTGTTTTCTTTTATACTACTCAGTAGAGGTTACCTTAATTTTTTGTTGTCCCTTGCAGATGCAGATGAGTGCAAAAGGGATAACGGTGGATGTGATCATTACTGCCACAATTACATAGGCGGTCATTATTGCTCATGTCGACCAGGCTACAGACTTCAACCGGATAAGAAGTCTTGTTATGGTAAGTATCCTCCTTTCTTAACCCTTCGTTTTTCTTCGTTTTAGAGAAGTTTTGTCCGCGAAAACTTTTAAAATCTTCTGATTGCTCAGGTAATATTCAACCAAGAGAGCGACCCATTCATTTCCCAAGATTAATTTTCCTGTCGTAATGTGGCTTAAAATTTATTGCCCCGTTTACTTTTGTTCGTAATTTTTAATGTTCGGGCATTCTTTAGTTGTTTGCAATAACCAGCAATTTAAAGCGAGGCGAGGTGAAATAGCTACTCCAGAATACCCCAAGAACTACCCCAAAAACTCTAGATGTGACTGGACCATTGAAGTGGAAGAAGGATACCAGATAACTTTAAGTTTTACTCAGGTAAGTTTCGTTCGTGATTTCTTCCTGTTCTGGAATAAATTGAAATACTCTTAGTCAATGAACATGCTGAATTATTTTATGATGGGAAAAGTCATGCTGGTAAATTTACTATGGAGGATTTCTTTAAATATCTACTTTGGTTCTGTTCGAATCGTGCTCTTCGAAGTCATATCACTGCCCAAGTTCTGCTGATGCTATCTTTTTATGGCTCAATATGTTAAATTCAAATCTTAACCAATATAGTGAGGTAAGCGTATTTATTAATGCAAATGTTTTTGCAACAACTAATGGCACTGTTCTTGCCCACTAAGGATAAAGTAGGGTTGTTTGCAGCAACTTTATGGAAGGTTCTGTCCGAGGCCCTATGACCCTTTTTGGTACCAGACAATGATTACTAATTCTAATTTTCCTTTTGTTTTTGCCTTGATTTTTAAACCTGTCAGTAAATGCTCTTACCTATTTCCTCTATGCCATTATTGTCTTTCGTGCTTTGTCGTAAAATACGATTTTCACCTCGCACAAATATTATCCCAGGTTGGTTGTCGCGTTAACGAACGGTGGAATATCACAATTTCCCTAAACTCTTCCCTGATTATCGTGCCGCTTCGATAACAAACCACAGTGCATTTATTCTCCTGGTCATGGTTACACAAAGTTAATATTTGCCTACATTATATAATAATAACACTGTTGATTTGTTTTTGATTTTGGGCTTAGTTTGAAGTGGAGGATCATCCAGACGTGATTTGTCCTTACGACTACTTGAGAGTGTCAGCAGGCATCAACAGAAAGTATGGTCCTTTCTGTGGGAAGTCTCTTCCGCAGAACATTACTTCATCTGATAACTACATGTATCTGGAGTTTGTGTCCGATGGTACTGAAAACTACAAAGGATTCAAAGCGATTTATGATACACATGGTAACGTTTTATCAAACGATTGTAAATAAATCCCTTGCAACCCACAAATGAAGTGCTCTGACCTTGCTCGTGAATTTTATTGGTTGTCTCGTTGTCTGTTTATCTGACTGATCTGTTTGTTATCATTGTATCATTGTTAGCCGAGTCGTCTAAGTTGTAGTGGCCATTTAATTAATTTTATGGTATAATCGTTGCATTATATTTTATTTATTAGCATTTTGCTTTTACAGGGTTACAATGCCCAATCTTACGCGCTCCACAGCATGGAAACATGACGGGGGATAGTTTTACGTTTAAGGACGTCGTACAGTTTGGTTGCGATGAAGGTTATCTTCTAACAGGCTCTGCTGTCAGGGAGTGTCTCAGCAGCGGAACCTGGGACGGAGATGTCCCTGAATGCAAACGTAAGTACAGTTACTCCTTAGGTGACTTACTTCTTAGAAGGTACGCCTTAGGTGAATGCGATCTTGTGGGGGAAAAGTTATCAAGGCCCTTTTGAACTCCGAGCATTACAAAGTGAAGATATAAACTTCATACTTTATAGTTATGATGCTTGAACTGGAGTCGAACCAGAGCACGGTATAAGCTGCTTTAAAGTCACTTCGTTGAAAGATATTTCAGAACAATTTTGATTGTGGTTGACAAGGCATCTTAACTTTAGGGAATCTCTATCGACAGAATGTGAATTGAGTGACGAGTCAACCTTAACTGCAAAATTTATTGCCGTGGTTTTTTACTTCTTTCAATTGCATTCGTTTATTCATCTCTCTAACGGCACAAGCGGTAAACTGTGGTAATCCTGGAATCCCACGTCATGGTAAAATGGGACAGACTGGATTCACTTACAAGAAAACCGTAACATTTTCTTGTGACAAGTATTTTGAGCTTCGAGGTCAGAGCACTAGACAGTGCCAAGCAGATGGAACCTGGTCTGGCGAACAACCCAAGTGTGTTGCAAGTACGTTAGCCTGGCTATAACGTAAATTTTTACTGACGCCTTTCTTTTATATTATATTAGGGTCCTGACCCTTCTCTTCGTTAGCTTATATTGGAAATTGAAGGGACCACTATCATAATGAAACCTAAAAGGCCGTTTGGAAAAGCAGCTTTGTAAAAATTAAAATAGAATGGACAGGATGTGCTTGCATGTCTTTTTAAGAGAACACGCAGAGATAAAAAGAAGAGTAATTTTATCGCCATTTTCGACAAATTTGAAATGGATATTAAGACAACAGATAGATATCAGACCACTTCTGTGGCAATAACCCATGCCACAAATTTATTTTGATTCCAGGCAAATCATTCGATCTAATCTGTGAGTGATGTGAATTAGAATAGTTGGAGCGAGACAAATCATCGTTCTAAATTATTCTCGTAAGACCTAAATAACAAAGAAAAAGAGGGAGAAGTTATAAGGAACAAATGAAAGATAGGAAACTTACTTCTTTGCTTCTTTTTACAAACTTAGACCACATGTATTGAACCCACTGTTCCTGCCACAAACGAGTTTCCTTTTCTCTCAAATGATTTCAAAAGTCTAAGGGAGTGACCTACTGAAATGAACATCTTGGTGCAACTCGCACCAATTGCGGCTTCTAACGCGCTCGGCTGACACAATTAGCTCATTTATTACACCCATTTTGAAATCACTGGTGGTCCCTGTAATCTGATTGGCTCTACCTGGTGCGATTTATTCACGAATCGCACCAATCAGACTTCAAGGCTTGTTTAAAGTAACCGATCAAATTGCAGGAAGATGAAAGACATGGAGTATCATGTGGCAAATTTTGCAACTTTTGTTTCCAAACTCTTATTTTTCCTCCCAAAAAATGGATGAATTTAATTTCAAACCGGCTCAGTATTGTGTGAATAAAATATTTGAACTGACCAAGTCCTGTATTTGGGCGATTTCAAAATGGATGTAAACTTGTGATTTCAAATCGAACTCGCGCTGTGCGCTCGTTCAATTTTGAAATCACACTTATGATTTCAGCCCAAATTGCACTCCACTCAGTTCAATTACCATTATAAATGCCACCATTACTGAAACTTTATCCGCGCGTCTATCATTTTGTCTTCCTTGGTAGTGATTGCTTTGATGCGTTGGTATTTGTTAACAATTTTTTCTCTACTGTTATCAATACAGGTTGTGGAGAAATAGAAAACTTTAATTTCAGTCGTGATGTTTGTAGAAAGAGGATCGTTGGCGGCCAGGACTCATCCAAAGGGGCCTACCCATGGCATGTGTTACTTATGAAGGATGGTCGGTTGGCCTGTGGTGGAAGTCTTTTGAACGAACGATGGGTTCTAACTGGTGAGTCAATCACAGGCCCTTCTCGGTAGCTTTGCTACAAAGAGGAGAAAAATGGTCAACGGTTTTGGAAACACTAGTTACTCTGATAAAAAAAAAGTCAGTTTTCTTGACAGGGACAAGAGCTTGCAGAGATTGCTTGTTTTAAGGGAAGTAAGTTACTCCTTGGAAGTTTTAAAGAGTTTAGAGGAGGCAAAAAATGAGGCAAACACAACCTTTTTAAGAGTATTCAACATATGAACATTTAAAAACTCTTCATAGATCACTTACCAATGTTACTTAGTACGTCATTTTCATCTTCAGCTGCTCACTGCGTGACGAGCAAGCAATCAGACATTATCCCCCTTTCTCAACTGGATATTTTTGCTGGTCTACTTGATATCCGCAAATTCAACGACAGCCACGTTCAGAGGAGAAGAGTCATAAAGATCATTAATCACCGGGACTTTAATTTCACTCTGTTTGAGTCTGACCTAGCGCTTTTGAAACTGGATCGTGAAATAAAAATATCAGATTACGCCAGACCTGTCTGTCTGCCAGAAAAACCTGAGTAAGTCAAACACTTATTTACTTGTCCAATTCTTTAAGTTTTATGGGTAACAATATTTCTACGACTGTTATAAAAGGTGAACATATTTGTGAAATTAACCACTTGATTGAGCCGTGCTGCCGTGGGCCGTTATTTTTCACATTTTTTTGAACGACAGCGAAAAAAGTTCCAAAGATCCTCTCCCTGCAAAGCAGTGATTCTTGCCGTTTGATTTCCTGCTGTTGTGTCAAGAGAAGGGCCACAATGGGAGCAACTTTTCTTCTCTTTCTCGCTTTTTAGGCAGAAGAGTTTGTTTATGCGCGGAAAATTCGGCCGAGTGGTAGGCTGGGGTTATAGAGTGAGCCAGGACTCCATTGGGCAGTTTGCAAACATACTCAAAGAGATCTGCATTCCGACCATTGGCAACGATAAATGCCAAGCCGCCTTCAAGGATGAAGGATACATTGTGACTCCAAAAATGCTCTGCGCTGGTCAGGTTCAAGGTGGAAAAGATTCCTGTCATGGAGACTCTGGTGGTGGATTTGTGTCCATGGACCCAGTGAGCGGGAAGTGGGTACTGGGCGGGGTAGTGAGCTGGGGTAGTAGCCTGGGATGCGGATTACGAAATAAGTATGGAGTATATGTACGCGTCACAGAGTTTATCCCTTGGATCAATCGTTACATGTCCTGAGACCCCCTAAACTTAATCAAGATGTAACCAACTTATTTGGATAATTTAATCAGTGTATAAGCAAGATTTTCTCTATATCAGTTTGAGTTGGAGTTATTGAATCTGTTTTTTCTCATTTGAAAAAATACGAATGATGCACCTTTGCCTGTGAGTGTCGAAAGTAAACTGCTTATCAAGGTTAGCAGTTTGTTAGATCTCTCAGCATTATCTGTGGGTTTACTATTTTAGGTTGTATAATCTTACGGCAACAATTTTTGTCTTTCGGCTGACTTGGTGTTTACAGAGTGAAAGAGTAATATATAAAATGTCCAACTGAAATTTATGGCTTGCTTGATTAACTACTTTTACAATCTTTCAGGACTGTTTATCTTGTATTTAGATGTAGAAATCATTTTATGTAGTCTTTTTATTTATAAACATATATTTCTTTTAATCTTTTGGATTTAAATATCTGTTTTAAATAATGATATTAACCATTTACCAAAATGACTTAAGTTAGACAAGTCATACACTTTCATTACTTTTCAAAGAACTCGCTTTTAGTTATGTGATTCCAAACAATAAAGACATATTACCGTATGAGTAAATTTCACTTAAAGCCGAAAAAACGAGTCTTTCATACCTCTGGTATAAGAATGAAGAATTTTCACTGTAGGTAAAATCAGGAGTAGCAACCGTCTCCAGGGTATATCGGGCAATAATGATTTGTATCTTTCTGGGAAAGACTTAGTAGCTTTTTAAAGCGTATGCTGACGCAAATTTGTTGCTGTTATGTTATGTTATATTTTAAATACTGTTTTTATTGCTACAAATGTATATCTTGTTATTATTATTATTAAGTTGTGAAGTTCTCTATTCTCTTCTCAGGAAAAGGGGGGGATACTCGCAAGACGCCAATTGTTTTTGTATTCGAGTCGCAAATGCTTTGATGTAACATGTCATAGAGACCTCGTTAGTCATCTAGACCGTTAGAGTTCTACAGTTTACCTCACTAGTACGATCCCTGTTACTACAGCATTGGAACTCGAGTGTGGGGTTCGATTCTTGAGTGGGAATTAAATATTTTCTTCGTACTACACTTGAAAGAAAACTTTGTTGAAACTGATTGATGTGTAAAAGGAAAGCCTTCACTAAACAAAACGATTAAGATAAACAGAGTCTAATGGTTTGGAGAATCCTTTCCTTTAGTTCTGCAGTTACTTATTCTTCCTTACTAAAATCAAACTGCTAAGAGCTGTCTGCCCGAGAAGATTGTCGATGATGACATCTTAACATTTTGAACGTGCTTCTCAGGTGGTTGTTTCCATGTCTTCGGGAGGGAGGAAAGAGACGGGGAAGTTGTGAAGATATTGAAATGAGTTTGAGTACATTGACCATCGGCCGAAAATAAATTGAAAAAGGTTGACCGTTGTGGTTCGTGGCGGTTGTAGAGAGCTAATTTCTGATGTAGGCTCAACCTTGTTTCACTTTTTTACCGTCAATTATCGCTTGGAAAATCGTCAGTTTTTTGTACGGAAAGAGTGACGATCTTTAATGTGGGATTGTGTTTTGGTCGAGACGAAACATAGAAAGTTTTTCTCGCTAAGAATCAATGCTCACGCCCATGGCCGTATTATTGTTCTCTTCGCCTCTTGTGGCTGCAAGGTATCATGTTTACATAAAAACGGTTATTAAAAGATAAAATCAAGGTAGTTCAATAAATGGAAATTAAGCTGCAGCTGACGTTTCTACAATATTTACAATTTTATTAGCTTGTAGTCTTGAGTTACTGTTGTGCAAACAGCCAATTTTCTTTGACTATATGCACGAAGAACATCTAAAATTGCGGTGTAGGTAATTTGAAATATTTTTATATAAGTTAACATACAACGTTGTCACATACTAAAACAGAGGCTAGCGACACAGTTTCCTCGTCACCATTGTCGTTTACACTTTCATAAACCACATGGAAACCAGAGATTGCAAGATCTTACATGTAGCTACAAGTGAACTACATCAATCCATTTTTTCGAAATTATTTCATTGTTCGAATAAATATGGAAAATGTATATGCGCTTTTAAATGTCTTGATTTGCTCGGTATTTGATAACTACTGATACCTCAATTAGAGAACCGCTCTCACGCAACACACAAAATCAAGAAATGTCCTTTTTTTTCTTTAAAAATTGTTTCAGTCGGCCATCCTCATTTTTCGACACTATTTCTTATTCTTAAAGTTATTTAAATGTGTCTGCTCTACATTTTCTTCTTCTTATAGTCACACCATGACCGCATAAACCGGCCTTCCTTTCTCTCCCTCTATCATACCCCGATTATAAGAAGAGTTCAGATTAGTGGCCCCTGATTGTGAATCTACAGACATTCAGCGTGTCACTTACACAAGAATCTGAATCAAATGACGAGTTTATTTTCGATGTATTCCTGAGAATGTTTCGTCATTAGTTTTAGGAGCCTAATTATTATACCGTGATTTGTAACAATTTTAGTCTACACGTAAATTTGCGCTGACCCTGTTCTCTTAAACTAACTTATGATAATTTGTACTGGTGTGAGGAAAAGTGAAGTGCTAAAGACCAAACTTAAAGGTGAATGACCTTTGCATTCACTTCAGTACATAAAACCGCTTCCCTTCCGAAAAAAATTGGACACGAGGAGCCTGAGCAGAGACGTTCTTGAAATGCGGACGGCTATCAGTGGAAGAAGTTAATAGCCGATTAAGAAAGAGCATCAATTAAATCGGCTTGATGCTCTATTATCAGAACTAACCACTTGAAAAGATCGTGATGAAGAAATTTGTCGCAAACGAAGGGATAGGAACTTTCCACCACTGGCTTCCGTCCGCGTCTCAAAAACGTATATATGAAAGCTCACCATTGTCGAGAGACTGAATTGGACTGGCTTACTTGCAGATGCTAACCTCGACTCGCCTCTGACATTCGCGACACTTGACATAACAGCACCAATAGAACTTGCATTCACAACGCTCCACCCTGGCTTCTTGGTGTGTGGTGTACCCCCGACTGCAGCACATCAACTCACATCCATCTATAGCTTGAGATGTGCGGTTGCACATCCTTCCTTGGGTTCCAAGGGAGCCAGTGCTAAGATTTGGCGTGCAGAAATCAGGTGAACGGTCAATATAAACAAGGTCGACCGCAGTGTGAGGTTTAAAATTTCGATTTCGTGGAAGAAGAACTCTCCTTGATCCAATTTGCTTTAGTTCTACTTCCGTGGCTCCGTCGAATTTTTCTTTGATATGATCTCCAACCAGTCTAAAATTGGGAAGTGACCTCCAGCAGGTTTTCACTTTACATGATCCTGACACACCGTGGCATTTACATTGAATTTTCATGTACTTTAGGATGGCCTGTTGATTGAAATATAAATTAGCAAATCGTCGGTTAGATTTACTACTTTCACGTGATCAAAATACCAAAATCATGTTCACTCGATCTGCTTTCTCTTACTCCTTAGATACTCTTTTTCGTAGATCTGATGGGTAGAGAATGTTCCTAAGAAAACTCGACTTTCAAAAAAAAATATTGGACAAAACGGCCTTTCGAGTCCTGGATCTTTCGACAATGAAGGCAGAAGCGCAGGTCCCCTAATTTGTGTTTGAAATACTTTGCACAAAATTAATTAAGAGGGTGAAATGTTACTTGGGTGTGCTTCATGTTTTTCGATAAAGGGTCCTTGCTACTTAGGCTTGCTTCATGTTTTTCTACAAAGGGTCCTTGCTACGACATAGTCATCTTCACTTTAAGTCTCGGTATTTAACAAGTTCCCCACACCAGTAGACGCTAGGGAGGATTAAGCAAATGTTACTGTAACGCTAGCTATAGCGCAGGGGGCCATAATAGGTAAAGAAACTGTTTCGTGTAGATGTCACTTTTTTTTTTTTGCATTTTCTAAGTTTCCAAAAAAATCATAAGAAGCGGTGCTACATAAGTGAATTTCTGTCAATCATTCAACTATCGACTAAACATATTTGTAGCGCACGAGTTTATCAGGTCTATCGATTGTTTCTCTTTTGCCAATACTATTCATCAATATAAATATTTAGCTTTCAGTTAGACCTTTCAATAAAATACAAATTCAGTGGATCAGGGCCAAACTTGCAATTTCGTCTCATGCTGCCGGCATCTTGACGAACAGTTAGGAGCAGAAACAAACAAAATGGATTTAAATCCGCCAATTGAAACCCATGAGATGACCGTATGAATATCCTTATGATTTTAATGATCTAACATCTCTACTGAACTTCAAAATTTTTAGTCCACCAAGCGCTGAAATGAGTATCAACTCACCTTTCTCCCTGCGTTGTTGTTGTGTAAGTTCATAGAAATACGAGATGGATCCTCTCCTTTACGACCACGTTCTCTTGCGTCCACAAAGGTTTTGGAAAACTCAATTCCAAAGTTGATATCATCACTACACCCTGCCCATTTCCAACCCTCTTTAGACATTTTTCCATTGTTCTTCTGGTCACAGCCACACCTTCGTCCAAGTTTTCCCGCGCTGCAGGAATGCGTCACAGCATAAGCTACCCCCGCTGACGAAATGGAATGAACAAAAGCAGCTTCCCTGGTTCCTAAACAGAATAAGCGGGAATAAAGCTCATTAAAAATTGTTTCCCCTTGTCTTTCGTAATCACATGTTACTAAATGCTGCAGGCACCTTCATTACGAGGAAATTCAAATTAGACGGTCCAGTTTCTTACTTGACTTGAGGAGTGCTAAGTGTTCTTTCTGTTATCGGTCTGCAGTGACAGTTTCTTGATGTAGGCCATTACAGTAGTTAGAATAGTGACGCGCAGATATGGAATAAAAATTTGCGGAAATGTTGCCTACCTCCGTTTACAGAATTTCCAAAGACAGGGGATTTTTCAAATTGCAGAGTGGTACAGTTCCACCTTCGATAGCGAAACTGATGTTGACATTCCTGGACAGCAATTGTGGCACCAAATTTGACACTGTTCATGACGTCAACATTCCTTTTGCAGACTTGTACCTGTCTGTTGTTAAAGTGGGTACCGACTTCGTCACAGCTTCGACGCGTGTTAAACTTAGTAACAGAGCTGCTGAGCGCCAGTGATCTGTAAATGTTAACAGAGTCGATGTTATCACTTATGAACACTATTTAATCTACAGTTGTAACCAAAGACAGTTTGAAAAACAAATTTGGCGCGTCTGCCACTGATTCAATTTTGAGATTGATAATTCGTTGTTTAGAGGTTCCTATGGAATCAACTTTCATTGACGCGATTGATTTGTCCATGATTGGAATTATTTACAAGTTTTCAGTTGATTTATCAAGTCTATACGTCTGTTTAGTTCTACACTGCTCGACCAATATTAATTCTTTTTACGTGAAAATTGTCTTCCATAAGTTTGGTACTGAGTTGAATATTGGATCAGCTTAAACGAAATAAAAAACGGAAAAACAATTTGAAAGAAGAATTCCATT